GTGATGACTTTATAGAACATAACTTCTGTGAACAATGAGATTCAACAGTACTTCTCACAGTTTTGTATCCTGTAGTTATGCTCATCTGGTAGCTCAACCAGGGCCAGTATGTCCCAACATGGCCTTGCTGACAGGGTGAGTGGTTTTTTAAGAGTATGGCTAAGGTCCTCACTTTCCTCAGAGGCCTCTCTCATCCTCCAGTAGGTTCCATAGGTGGACTCAGGACAGTACTCCCAGTGATGGAAAACAGAAGCTCCAAAGCCTCTTAATGCCTAAGTCAAGAAGTTGCAAAAGTTGTGGGGGGAGTCATGGGGTATGGCACACCTCTTGGGGCTGGAACATAATTATAAAAGGCACCTTATCAAACAAAGACAATCAATGTAACCCAATTGTTTGTATACTCAATGAAGCCCAATTAAAAAAAAAAAAAGACGTTGTAAAACTTCATTTTTACCACCTCTGTTGGCTAAAGCAAGTCCTAAGGCCAGTTCAGATTCAATGAAAGTGGAGAAATGAATTCCAGTTCTTGATGGGAGAAGATGCAAAACATCCTGGCCATGTTTTCAAATCCACCACAGTATCCACACAATCATTGAAATGCATAAAATACATCAAAAATTCAAAATCTTTATAAAGACTTTCCACCTCACAAATAAAATAGAAATGATACTATTAGGAAGCCACTGTTTTTCAACTCTCAGTGAATTCATGGACCTAGGCAAAAATTATCAATAGCTGATAACATCAGAAAATGAGGACATCCAGACATTATGTGTCTCCCAATGAAAAATGCAATACCTAATACAGGGGTCCATAAAGGTCATGTGCAATTTAAAAACAGCATATATTTTCAATTGCACACAAACTTTATAGACACCCTATATATATTGTTGACAAAGGGATTGACCCTGAGTTTGGCTGCCAACTTGCAGGATATACAGAAGACAGGGGAACATGTTCAACTGCATTATTATTAGCGCAGTTAACAGAGTCCAGACTGTGGAAGATTCTAGACATCAAACAGCCCAGAAATTTAGCAGATCAAATACCAGACCTTGTAAGGAGCAGAGCAGTAGTTGAAGAGTGTCTCTGAAGACATTTTAAACACAAAACAGTCATAGAGTCTGGGCTCAGTGGCTCATGCCTGTAATCCAGGCACTCTGGGAGACTGAGGCAGGAAGATCCCTTGAGCTCAGGAGTTGAGGACCCATCTGGGCAAGAGTGAGGTCCTGTATCTAAAGGAAATAGAAAAATTAGCCAGATGTCATGGAGCATGGCTTTAGTCCCAGCTACTTAGGAGGCTGAGGCAAGAAAATTGCTTGAGCCCAAGAGTTTGAGGTTATAGTGGGTCACGATGATGCCACTGCACTCTACTCTGGGTGACAGAGTAAGACTCTGTCTCAAAAAAAAAAAAAAAGAAAGAAAGAAAGAAAAATAAATAAACAAATAAATGAAAAGGCTGATGAATGAAATCAAAGAAGAACCAAATAAATGAAGAAGTACTTATTCCATGTTTATGGATAGAAAGACTCATTCAATATTATCAACATGACACTTCTTTCCAAACTCATCTATAGAGTCAACATAATTCTAATCAAAATTCCAGCAAGTTATTTTGTGGATCTTGACAAAGTGATTATACAGTTTAAAGAGTTTGGCACAGATCCAGAGTAGCCAGCACAGGATTGAAGAAGAATGAAGTCAGAGGACTGAAGCTGTCCAACCTGAAGATTTAGTATAAAGGTAGAGTAATTGAAGTAATGTGGTATTGGTGAAAGGGTAGACAAATAGATCATTGGGAATTTGAGACCGGCCTGAGCAAGAGGAAGAGCCTATCTCTAAAAATAGCTGAGCATTGTGGCCAGTGCCTAGAGTCCCAATTACTCAGGAGGCTGAGGCAAGAGAATCACTTGAGTCCAAGAGTCTACCAAAGGTGACAAAGTGAAGCTCATGTCTTAAAAAAAAAAATCTCAACAAGAAAACAAGCAAGCTGATTTTAAAAATGGGCAAAAGAACTGAGCAAACATCTCACCAAAGAATACATGTAGATTTCAAGCAAGAACATGAAAAGATGCCCAATATCCTATGTTATTAAGAAATGGCAAATTAAAACACTGATATACCACTATAGACCCATTCTAATCTATGAGAATCACCAGAATCCAAAACACTGACAACACTAAATGCTGACAGGGATGTGGAGGAACAGGAACTCTCATTCATTGCTAGCAGGAATGCAAAATGGTACAGCCACTTTGGAAGACAGTTTGGCAGTATTTTTCCAAACTAAATTTTTTCTTATCATATAATTCAAAACGTAAGTTGCATTCACCAGTGTTTACCCAAATGATATGAAAACTTATGTCCACACAAAAACTTGCACACAGCTATTTATAGCTACTTTATCCATTATTGCCAAAACTCATAAGCAACCAAAATGTCTTTCAGCAGACAATTCAGCAGGATAAACCTAAGGTACCTCCTCCAGACAATAGAATAATATCAGCACTAAAAAGAAATGAGCTATCAAGCACGAAAAGACATAGAGTAACCTTAAACACAAATCACTAAGCAAAAGATCCATCAAAAAGTCTACATACTGTATTATTCCAGCTATGCAACAGTTTGGAAAAGGCAAAATTATGGAGACAGTAAAAATTTCGGTAGTTCCTGGGGACTGGAGGGAAGGAGGGATAAATTGGTGAAGCTCAAAGGATTTTCTTTTAATTGTGGTAGAAAAACAACCTCACATAACATTATACTTACCATCTTCATCATTTTTAGGTACATAGTTCAGTAGTCTTAAGTATATTCATATTGTGCAATAGCTCTCTAGAAATTTTTCATCTTGCAAAACTGAAACTCTATAATTTGATAAACTCTAATTTTCCTCCATCTCCCCCAACACCTGGCAACCACTTTTCCACTTTATGTTTCTATGATTTTGATTACTTTGGATACTTCGCAGTATTTGTCTTAGCTCATTTAGCATATTATCTTCAAGGTTCATTCATATTGTGGGATTTCCCTTTCTAATGTCTATGTAATATTCCACTGTATGCATGTAGTCCTTCCTGAAAATGGGACTACATTTTCTCTCTTCTTTCATCTGTCCATGGACATTTGTGTTGCTTCCACCTATTCACTATTGTGAATAATGTTGCTATGAACATGATTTACAAATATATCTCTTTGAAGTCCTGCTTTGAATTCTTTTGGCTATATATCCAAAAGTGGGATTGCTGGATCCTATGGTAATACTACCACGTTTCCCTAAAAATAAGACACTGTCTTCTATTTATTTTTTCTCAAGAAGACAAACTAGGGTTTTATTTTCAGGGGATGTCTTATTTTTATTAAGTATAATACAACAATCTACATTTATTCAAATACAGTTAAGTCATGTTTCTCTGGAAGTCATCTTTTTTTTAGCTATATATATATATATATATAGTTATATATATGTTAGCTCTCTCTATCTCTATCTATCTACCTATATATATATATAATTTATTTACCTTCGCGTCCAATAAAATCCCTACATGGCCCGGGCGGCCAAGTAAGGCTGTGTACATAAGGCCAAGTGTAAGTGCGTGAATGCACTCAAAAGAGTCAGGACACGAGCTTCATCTGACAGACCCTGCACAGGGGCACCAGGCAGCCTCAGGCACGGGCATGCAATGGCACACACACTTGCCATTGTACAGCCCAGGACTCCCATTGTAGATTCACACGCCCTGCTGGGCAGGGCACCTCGAGGCTAGAGGAAGAGGGGAAGGTCAGGAAGGAGCTGTTGGATGTCCCTGGGTGGGTAAGAGAGGGCAGATATGAGAGGTAGATGTGCACCGACACTGGGCATGAGAGACGTGAGCTGCCTCCAGGTGTACAGCATGAGATGTGTGTGTGGTAGTGGTAGAGTGTCTGCATGACCCGGAAGGGGGATGCATGTCAGATAAGCACACAAGACATTCATGGGTGTATGCTCATGTGGTGGTCATGTGCCTGAATCCAGGGGCCACCCCCTGTCTGGCTGTGGCCCTTGGCCCTGCAGGCTTGGAGCCAGGCCCCTCAGATGTGCCCTACCCAGCAGGCACAGAAACGTTTTCATAAGGTCCACCTCAGGCAGGAGCTCTGGGGGCCATATCCCAAGCCAGTGTGTGCATGCATGCCTGTGTGTATGCAGGGCCCTGGCAGGGGCAGGATAAAAGGTAGCATCACACACACACACATACAGATGGGCTGGGCCTGGCCCAGGGTCCAGGCACTGTCCGCCCTGGGCACTAGGGCAGAGTGTGAACAGGTGGAACTGCCAGCCTAGTCAGGCAGGCCATGGAGAGGTAGGAGTTTGGGCAGGGTCTGAAGAACCAGCGTAAAGGGACAACTTCAGCTGGATGGGGCCTGTCCAAGCAGCTCTTCCCGGTTTAGGGGAACGGCCCCTGTCTGGCTTCTGCCTTTCCCTGGCAGGTGCCAAAGCTGGTGAGAGTGTAGGCGTTTGGCCTGGCTGGCCTCAGCACTCAGCTTCAGATACGATGCATAGCCACGCCCATCACTAGGTCTTATTATCGGGGTAGGGCTTATATTTAACAAATGCATAGAAATTCTGCTAGGGCTTATTTTGAGGGTAGGTCTTATTTTCGGGGAAACACAGTATTATTAAGTTTTTGAGGAATCTCCATATTGTTTTCCATTATGGTTACATCACTGTAAACTCCTACCAACACAAATTAGAACTTTTCCACAAAAGTTCCACTTTTTCTGCATCTTTGCCAACACATTTTTGGCAAATTCTCTATTCTTTTGATAGTGGCCATCCTAATGGGCATAATGTGATACCTCATTGTGGTTTTGATCTGTGTCTTTCTTATGATGAGTGATGTTTGTTGGCCATTTGTTTATCTTCTTTGAAGAATTTTCCATTCAATTACTTTGTCAACTTTTTAATCAAGTTGTTTGGGTATTGTATTTTTCTTTTTGATCATTGTTTAGTTGTAAAAGTTCCTTACATATTCCAGATATTAACCCTTCAAAAGATACATGATTTACAAGTATCTTCTCCTATCTTATAGGTTGCCTTTTCTCTTTATTGACTGCACAAATTTTTAAGTGTTAATGTAGTTTCATTTGTCCCCCTTTGCTTTTCTTGCCTGTGCTTTGGGCGCCATGTCTAAGAGATCTTCCTAGATACAGAAGTTCTTCCCCTGTGTTTTCTTCTCGGAGCTCTACAGTTTTAGGTCTTACATGTAGGTCTTTAATCCACTTCAAGTTAATTTTTGCATATCAGGTAAGATAAGAGTCCAGCTGCATTCTTTTGCAGGTGAATATCCAGATTTCTCAACATTTGCTGAAGAAACTCTCCATTTTGTAGTCTGGGTACCCCTCTCAAAAATCATGTCTACAATTTGGTTAAAGGCAAAAAAGAAAAAATCATTTGGCAGTCTATGCAGGGCTTATCTCTGGGCTCTCAAGTCCATCCTGCTGGTCACATTTCTGTCTGTAGACCAGTGCCACACCATCTTGATTAAGCAGAGAGGATCTGGGGGCAGTAGAACCGTCCTGTATGATACTGTAAATGATAGGTACATGCCATTATACATTTGTCAGAATTCATAGAATGTGCACAGCAAGAGTAAACTCACATTTAAATTACAATAATGACATGAGCAATAATGACACGTTAATGAAGATTCATCAGTTGTAGTGAATGCACCCCTCCGGGGCAGGATATTGATAGTAGAGGAGAGGCTGTGTGTGCGTTGGGGTAGGGAGTACATGAGGATGCTGCATTTTGGACTTTATTTTTCTGCAAACCTAAAACTACTCAAAAAAATAAAGTCTGTTTTTTTTAAAGTCTAGCCAAAAGCTGACATGAAGCCAAGACTCTGAAAGATGACAATGAGTTGCCTTTTAACCCACAATAATTAATTATCATCATTATTTTTCTAACAGACGTTAAACATTGCATCTGATATTGAATGCCTTTTCAATGATAGATTAGGATTTGACTTTTAGACTAAATTATTCCAAATTACCTTCTAGCTCAACACCATTGGCATAGCAATGAGATTTCATGAAAGCCAATCACAGAAAGTAAAAGCATCCTGTTGCTACAGAGTAGAAATTCCCACAAGAGGGATGTTCAGGGAGCTGAGGAAAGGCAGAGGAGGTAAAGTTGGCAGCAGGGGCTGGTCAGAGTCATTCCCAGGGAGACCAGGCACAGGCTGAGAGTTTACCAGCAAGCTGAAATAAACCCATTGAGGGGTGGCACCTGTGGCTCAAGGAGTAGGACACCAGCCCCATATGCCAGAGGTGGCAGGTTCAAACCCAGTCCCAGCCAAAAACTGCAACAACAAAAAAGAAAGAAAGAAAAAGAAATGAACCCATCAAAGGGGCATGCTGGAGAGTCTCTGTTTACCTTTTTCAATCTGAAACAGTTGCTTGGAATTATTGCTGTTATTTATTTTGCTCACAATCTGGCATCTGTTGCTTGGAGGTGCCAGCCGGATAGTGGCTGATGCTGCAGCTGTCCCAGAGAGTTCTCACATGCCCAGTGTCTGGGGTGGGAACACCCAGACCACCATATGCTAGATGAGTTAGGACTCCTGGGTCTCCCTCTGTGGTGTCCCTACATGGCAGCTTGAGGATGTCATGCTTCCCGTGTGGTGGCTACAGGCTCCCAGAACTCGCTTCCCAGGAGAACTGGCAGGAGCTGTGTGGCCTTTTCTCCCCAGCCTCAGAGGCTCTTCCTGTACCCACCATGACTTAGGGGGAGGGCCAGAGCTTTGGCAACTTGATAGCAAGTGAGGAAGAATTGGTGGATTGGATACATTTGAAACCATCACTAGGACAGAGAAGAAAAGTCAGGGGGGCCGAACATCAGGGAATGGGGAAAGCCTCAAGTTCTGAAGGTCTTTCTTATTGGCTTTGCCTGAGCTCTCCATTCCCAACTGGCACTCTGGGAACATCAGCCCTTCACCTGCAGCCACTAACCCTGCCATTCCCCTGCCCGCTCCCCCATCCACCATACCCAGTCTGCCAAGACTGGCCCTTCTCTGTCCCTAAAGGGACAGAGGGTGGACACAGACCACTGACCGCACAGACTGGGCATGCCTTCAGGCCCTCTCTCCAGCAGGGCCCAGTGCACAGGGAGCTAATGACCACTCAGCTCACCAAGGTCACCTTGCCTCAGAGGCATTGGCAAGGTTCACTGCATAAGCACATTGTCTGCTGTCACTCGTGCTGTCCCAGAGGATGCCTAGAGCCAAAACCAAATGAAATGCATGAACTAGTGATTAACAGAGTCTGGCGCTAGTGTCGGAGGTAGCCAGGCAGCCTGCAGCAGCTCATCAGCACTGTGCACAGGTGTGCAGACCAGCAGTGTAATGTTTTCTTGGTGTCTGATGCTGAGCCTGAATTGGCTGTATGACACTGAGCATAAAGATCCCTTCTTATATGAAATGGTGGTTCCCTGAGGCTTGGTCTCCCACGTGCTTGCTGGCCCTTTTGTCTCTTCCCACTGTCCTTCCCAACCCCCCTTAGAAGGTTTTTCACAAGGATCACAGCAATCGTGTGGGAGGAAAGTGCTTGCCTCTGAAGGCAGGCCTTGGAGTAACAGTTCAAGGACTGGGATGAGAGGTGGCGAGGCCACTGGCCCCGTACTGATGGCTTTCACTGATTCCCCTCACACAGACCCAGAACCTGCCCTGCTCCAGGTGCAGCCACCCCAGCTCCAGAGTGCCACTCTGTGCACTCCAGAAGATGTCACTCCGGAAGATGTCACTGTTCCTAGTAGAAAGACTCATCTGTCACAGCTAAAAGCAGGCTCCACTCAAAGGCACCCCAAGTACCCTAGTTATTAATAACTCTATGTTCACACTGCCTGGCAAGGACTGTAGGACTCCCAAGGGCCAAGGGAGGCAGCCAAGTCCCATGTGGCACAGGGTCACATAGCCCTGCGGCTTCGTCCTCCATTGCCCAGGCCATGACTTCCCACTCCTCTTCCCTCCCCTCCCGGAGGTCACATGTTATGCCCACCCCTCACCTCCCTGTGTCCTGATTTATTAGTTGGTCAGGGCTGAGGGATTTCCCACTCGGCAAACTGTGGGTGTGAATTTGAGGAGAGAGATGATGCTGCAAAGCCTCCTTGCCGCCTTCTGCACTTCAGGGCAGGAAGCCTGAAAACTGATCTCCAAGTCTCTGCAAGGGCTGCCTTTCCCCAATCCAGCCCCAGTACCGAGGGGCCAGTGGCTCTTACTTCCACTGTGAGATAGTCTAGAGCCCCTATCATTCTCTTTCCCTGCTCTCCCTGATTGAACATACATTACTGCTTAAATTTGGAGCAGGGTCCTGTGGGGGCAGAGGTTCCAAGTTCCCAGGTTCCTGGAACCCAGGCTCCCTGGAGCCCAGGTTCCCTCCCCAGCCTTGTGGCTATCATTGAAGTGTTCTGAGGTGTTCAAGCCCCCATCTAGAGTCACACTGAACCCTTCCCTCCAACCCCAGACTAGTATACAGTGTGCAGTGACAGCTGCCTTGAGTCCCATGCTGTGTCATTCACTGAACTTATTGTTGGATCAGAGGTGGGGCAGGTGAGAGGCAGCACCCCACAGAAGGTGCTGGGGAGCTGCAGCTTCCTTGCTGTCATGTATTTACTTGGTGGACTTGCAGAAAGCACAGGTCAAGGCCCTGGGGTAAGGCGGGTCCATGATCAACATGGATGAGCTTCTCCCTGGCCTGCCTAAGCTCCCAGTCCAGGAGGAGATGGTGTCAGTAAGGACAAAAAGTGCACAATGAGAGGATGGAGGCAGAGGGTGATGCAGCAGTAGAGGTCAGGGAGCCCCTTGGAGGGGGCAATGCTTAGCCCAGAAACCTAGAGGCTGAGAATGAGACTGCTTTGGGGAAAGGAGGGGCCAGGCAGAGGACACCAATACAGAAGTCATGAGGCTGGAGAGGCCTGGTGGGCTCCAGGAATGAGAGACAAGTGGCGAGAGTAGCGTGAGCCTGGAGAGAGAAGCAGGGAAAGATCATGAAGGGCCAGCAAGGAAACTCGGGCTGACTTCAGAGACAGGCCCTGTGGGTCAGGTAAAGAGGCAGGGTTGATTCCGGGGGCACTGGGAAGACACTGGAGGGTTGTAAGCAGGGGCTGATTTCACAGAGCTGTCTGGTTGCAATGTGAGGAGCTGGCTGGCGTGGGCAGAAGAGGCAGCAGCAAGAGCAGGCAGGAGGCTGGCACAGGAGTCTGCTGGGGACCAGGGCCTGGAGTAAAGGGCATATGTGGGCAGAGAGAAGCAGATGTTTTTGAGCCTGCTGTGGGGACCCAGGTGGCAACAGAGAGGGAGAAATCACAGATCTCCTAGGATTGGAAAGTGTGCTCTCTGGGACTGACTGGGCATGAAGGAAAGCTGTGCTCTGAGGATGCAATAGGTAGGGATGTCAGAGCTCTGTTTGGAATCAGGCGATCGCTCCACATGGCACCCTGGGGACCTTTCAAATCTTCACAGAGACCACCCAGACAAGGCCTGCTGAACATCCTACCACTTCTCCTGGAGTGAACGGACACAGCCTGGGGAGAAGCCATGTCACGGCCACTCATCCATCTTCCTAGTTTCAGTTGAGGGCAGGACTTTCCAACACACACACACACACACACCCTTAGGGTACAGCTGCAGGCTACAGAATTGCTTGGCTATAATTTGGAGGCAGCCCCACACTGGCTGAGCCACCTGATGCTGGTGCTGCCTCTCACCCAGCCCCTCTGATTCCGTGTCAGACTGTGAGACCAGAGTTTTAGAATGTGACATGCTCATCTTGCTTCTGCTGTCTTTGTAAATAATTAACTGTCTGAATCTGTGTGGGTTCACCAACCATTACTGGCTTGATCTCTGGAAGCGTGCTGAGTCTACCAGCTGCTACAGTGATGTAGCCACCAAACTGTCACTTGGGAACTGCTTCGCCACTTAACAAGTTGGCCCTCAGTGTGGGTCAGAAGGTTGCAATGCCTTTCTGCGGAAAAGACATGCTGGCCAAACTGAGGGATGTGAAACACAGCCCAGGTTCCCCCCGGCAGACTGTCACCCAGGGGCAGTGAGAGGAGAGGAACAGTGTGCCTCCTTCCTACCTAGTAAAGACCATTTGGGGGCTGAGTAGCAAGACGCAGAACTGAAGCCAGCCACTGAATATTGCCACTGCTGATGTCCAGAGAGGTCACAGGCTCAGAGGCATTTTTTTCGTAAAACAACTGAGGGCAGAATAAAGAGGGAGGCAAGGTCAGGACCCTGGAAGAAGAGAGTAGCTTTGCACTTCAGCCCAGTCTGCGAGTCCTTTAGTCAGGTAACCATGCACCCCTCACTGTAAAAATGCCCCCAAGGGGGAAGGCCGCCATGGCAGTGGGACAAGTGAATAGCTGGGAGCCCACCAGGCTCCACCGCCCAGCCACATGGGACCAGCAAAGCAATGCGGAATATGGGGAAGAGCCATGTGCCATCTGACAGGCTGCCGACCACCCTCCCACCGAGGCCACGTGACCAAACAATTATGCGACTGGGGCCTGTTGCGAAAAAATGTACCAGCAAAAGGCGTCCCCTGGTGTTTTAAGTACAGCAATGGCCAGACAGACACTGCCCACACACCCCTAAAGTGGCAATTAACTAGGCTAGGTGGACACTGAGAGACTAGCTTCTCGTGTAGTCACTACCAGTCTTCCCAGTCCCCATGGGTCTAGGGTGGGTCTGGAGGAAGACATCAATAAAGTGGGCACTTCCCATCAAATGACAACAGGACATCCAAGAAGTAAGGCAGGCATCAGTGGAATCCCACCTGCACCCACACCCCCAGCTGCAGCTATGCCAGAGTGCCAGCAGTGGGCCACTATCAGAGGACATTCCGCCCCCCATCTCCCTATCACCCACAGCCAGCAGGTGCCATTAAAAAATAAAATGGATAAAAAAAAAAAAAAACCTGAAAGCACAAGGCAATTCATCAAAAAAGTACCACTCATTTAAACAAAATGTTTAATTATATGGTGGAGATGGGAATAAGAAAAGGCCTACACTAGCTGTGAGAAACCCGACCACACAAGAGGCTTTCTCCCCCTTCCCCCATTTCCACCCTCATTCCCCAGCCTACCTTGGGGAAACCAGGCTACCAGAACCTGCAGACAGCCAAGCAGCTGGGAGTGGGAGATGGTAATCTGATGCTTCTCCTACCTCCTGGTCACATTTGCTGGATCTGGACGGTTATGGATGTAGATGATAATGGTCACAACTATGACAACTCCTAAGACAGTCCTGCTGATGTGGCACACACATCTAGGATACTACATAGTAATTACCCACAGGTTAGTCCAGCTGGGATGGGTTAGAAATGGTAATGTTTGGTTTTGGTTTTTGTTTGGGGGTCTCACTCTGTTGCCCTGGATAGAGTGCTGTGATCTCATAGCTCACAGCAACTTCAAACTCTCGGGCTCAAGTGATCCTCTTCCCTCAGCCTCCCAAGTAGCTGGGACTGCAGGTGCCCACCACAATGCCTGGCTAGTTTTTCTATTTTCCTAGAGATGGGAATCTCATTCTTGCTCAGGCTGGTCTCAAACTCCTGAGCTCAAGCAATTTGCCCTCTTCAGCCTCCCAGAGTGCTAGGATTACAGGTGTGAGCCACCATGCCCAGCCTTTTTCTTTTTCTTCTTCTTTTTTTTTTTTTTCTTTTTGTTGAGATGAGGTTGCTGGATCTCTGCCTACGCTGTTCTCAAACTCCTAAGCTCAGGGATCCTCCCACCTCAGCCACCCCAGTAACTGGCACTAGAAGAAAAAGCCTTATGCCCAGGCAGTGGTGAGGATTTTTAAAAGAACAATTCCACTAGTGGGGAAGGAACATTTTAGACCTCAAGAGGTCAGATTCAAGCCTAGATCATTAGCACTTTTTGTCGGTCACCTATAGGACATCTGTTCCCCACCTGTTGTCTCAGAATGTTATGATCACCTTGTCCCAGACAATCACTACTCCCCTCACAGAAGACCTTTGACTGAGGACTGTTGTTGACTTTGGAGGGAGAACCGCCCCTACCAAAGCAAAAAAACAAGGCTAATTTTCTAGACACCGATGAGGTCGCCCTTAGCCTCGTGGTATTATTGCTGGCACCCTGTGATCTTCCTCTACTGCCAAAAAAACTACCTCCAAACAAAACAAACATGCCCTTGTGTGCTTCTCCCAGACCATAGCTACTGCTAAACTGGTCACTGGGCCTGCCAACATCCACCCACCCCCAAGGAACAAACCACACTTCCCTCGCCCCACCTCTTCCCAGACACCCTGGGAAGGAACAAACCACACTTCCTTCACCCCACCTCTTCCCAGACACCCTGGACCTCAGGGGCCAGGCCTCAGCCAAGGGACACACATGAAGATTGCTTTGGGAGGGACTTGCCCATCTAGAAGCAACTTCTGGGGGGTGGGCAAGGACAGGGGACTAGACACCTGGGCTCTAGGCTCCCCAGCCAGGTGGCACCTGGGCTCTGGAGTGAGACTGTGTGGGTCCAATTTCTACCTAGCTACTCAGCCCACTGTTTATCGAGGGGAAGAACACGTGTTCCTTCTATTCCCAAGGCCTCAGTTCCCTGGGCTGTGATTCCTGGTGCTTCGGTCAGGAGGAAATGGAGATAAAGGGTTTATAGTGCTTAGCCCGAGCCTGGCACCCTCTTCAAAGCACCCAGAGTCCAGGCTGCCTTTCTCAGCAGTGGATGCTGCTGATGGAAGAACAGGGGTACTAGTGTATCTCCTTTTCTACAGACAGCTAACAGGCCCTAGTTAGAGAAAAAACTTGGCCAAGGTCACAGAGAGGCCAAGACCCTGGCAACCTGGACTCCATCCTGGGTTCTTGCCCACAAGAGGAAATGTCAGAGCATGTGTCTGTACAACCCTTCACAAAGCCAACCAGGTAAGCCCCGACCTGATGTCAACCTGACCTCACTCTAACTCTACTCCTAGCCCCTAAATCTAACCTGACCCTGACTCTGACCCTAACGCTAAACCCTAACTCTATCCCTCACACTGACTCTGACCCAAACTCTAACCTTTCCTTCCCCAGTGCCCACAGAAGGGCAACCCCTTCTCCTGCCAACCCCACAATGGTCAGCTGTCCCTCTGGGGACAACCGAGACCGCAGAACCCTTTGTAGGGCCTGCTTAATGAGTGTGTCCTGCATTCTTGTAGTGGTATGAAGGGCCTCTCTGGCAGCCCCTGGATGCCCTCTGGCCCCAGCACCCCACTCCCTCCATCCCTCTCTGGCCCTGCAATGGCGCCCTTGTGGTGCACTGGCTCCAGCCCCCTCAGGTAAACTGAGTAAAGAGACGCTCAATCAGCACTCAGCTCCCTCTGACATCTGCCAGCCCTCACTGTGGATTAGCTGTGGACTCAGTTTCTCCCAGATTCTCTTCTCCCTGGCTAGCAAGCACAGGTCATCTGGCCCCTTATCTGGGAGAGGAGACTCAGCCCTTTTCATCTAAAGAGGGCTGGGGCCTCGTCTACCATGTTCCTGATGGTACCCCAGACACAGAACAGGACAGGCAACCAGGGGGCCCCAGTGAGGCTGACAGGGAGTGCGGCAATGCCTCCAGGGGACTTCATGGGACTACCCTGTGCCCAATTCCCTTTTAGGACACCACCTCTGTCAACCATAAGTGGGACAACAGCTGTGACCTGGCTGCAGTGTGGCACATGTGCAGCTAGAGTTCAATGCCAAGCAGCAGTCCTATCAGACTGGCATCATCCAGGAGACCAGGCCTGAGCTTCTGGTGCCTCGGCAAGTTTGGCATCCTGGAGAGAGGCAGAGAGGGTGTCGGTCTTTTCTTCCCTTCTCCTAAGACTTCAATGTCCACTTCCTGTCTGCTCCTGGCCCATTTGGCCAGACATCCATTTATTTCCCTGTGACCCATCTCTCCTGGCCACCCCGATGAGCTTTTTGCACAGAGGCCCCTGGTCTCAGATGCGAACTTCCCCAGGGATTCAGGCCCTTCACAATCTGACTTGGCCTGCATAAGCCCCTGTGCTTCCGCTGGAGCACACCAGCCCAGGCAAGGGAAAGGCATGTGCCCAGGGGACAGAGGCAAGCCAGGCACCCAAGGGCTAATCACCATGAATGGGGTAAGACCTGGGAAAGGGTCTAGAAAGGGGTTATGGGGAGGGCTGTCTCCTTCCTGGGGGCTGTCTCCTTCCTGGAGGTTTCATATGAACGGGGCATGCAAGATGTGTCAGCCTGGGACCTAGTGGGACTGGAGGCTGCAGGACAAAGTAATAACCCACGGGACGGGAGGTGGAGAGGGGACAGGGAAGCATGTGGGTTTGGCTGGTGGGGGGCCATAGTGGGTGCAGGGGAAGTAAAGTGGGGAGGTGGTATAACAGACTGCACACAGGGTCAATGGGATGTGAGCAGGTCTCCAGTGCCAGGGCTGCACCCGGTGAGTGGGTGGTCGGGCTGTGAAACTTGGACACTTCTGCTCACTGAGAGGCCATTTACCCCCAGGCATCTGTCTTTCTCAGCCCCAAAATCTGAGGGCACAGCCAGTGTGTTTTTGGTCCCTTAGTAGGGACTCAGTCTTTAGCTATCACAAAATCTCCCAGAGGCTGTCAATGAGCAGTGATGACCGTGAAGCCCTCCCTGTCTGGGATTGGATATGAAGCATTTTACCACTTGGTCAAAATCATCGATGAGAGCAGAATCCCCAGCCTGGAAGAGATGGGAGCTGGCAAGGTGGAGGGCAGTGAGGGCCTGGGCTGGGACCTGCCAGGCTGTTCTTGATGTTGGCAGGGTCACCAAACCCATGGGGTCCCTGTCTGCCAACCTTGATGTCCATAAAGTAGACACCGGTGTGCATTCAGGGCACCCAAGGGGCTCCTGCAGCAGCTGGTAGAGGACTTGGGTGGGGGTGGACAGGCCCACCTGCAGGTGACCAAAGCTCCCCTGAGGCCCTATCTGACTGGAGCTGTATCTTCTGTCAGTGAAGTCCTCACGGCAGCTGCCAATGTCCTCCTGCTCTAAGGCCAAGGACCTTGCCTGCCATGTGAGATTTGTTGTAAGGGTCTGATACAGTCCTGGCTTCCCTTGTGGGGAAGAGAAGTGCAGCCCAGCAGAGATGAAGCTGCCATAAGACCCAGGCCCTGCAGCTGTTGGTCCCATGCAAGAACCACTATTTAAATAATGTCCTCCCCTCCCAAAAGTGCCCTACAGGGTCCTAAGCTGGAAGCACTCACTGGTCAGGGCTCAGGGGGGCCTCAGATGCCTCTGCTGTCCTCCCACAGGCAGGCCCCTAGAAGTCACAGGCATGTCCTACTGGCTGTGTTTATTCCCCTGCTGCTGGCTAAGCCCTGCACTTACATCATGGATAAGTGGGCTGCAATTCACCAACCCCCAAGCCCACCCTGTTGACTGCATACCCAGCAAGGCTTAGTCCTGCCAGAGGTCACCCTGCAGGTTGGGGTGAAGCAGGAACTCTCCCTGAGAGGCCAGCTCAGCTTGGGGCAGAGCAGGGAAGGAGGCAGGTTCTCAGGCAACCACACATGGGGAAAGGGCCTGTTAAACAGAGTAGTCACTAGTAGCACAGAGCCTCCTGACCAGGAGCGGAGAAACAGGTAAGAGAACAACAGTGATGTCAGAATTTCAGTTACGGCCCAACAGAGTAAAGTGAGACTTCCAAAGGACTCTGGAATTCAACATGATGGGTGGAAGGGCCTTTACAGACCACCCACTCCACCATTTTACAGACAGCAACACTGAGGCCCAGAGAGACTCGATAACTTGGGAGCAAGGCTCAGACTAAGAGAAGCTGGGGGGCTCCTCACCCCACACTGTGAGCTGTTGTAGGTTAAGGGGGTCATCGGAGACTGGCCTAGTAGACAAGAGAAAGCCACCAGCTACAGGGCCACACCCATCACCCCTCACCCTCAACTCAGTCAGGGCAGCAGCAGCACCTCCCAGGATGAAACTAAACACCCATCTCCTCCAACAGCCACCTCCAAGGGCCTGTCCTGCCCTTTGCCTTGGGCGATGAGAGACAGGCTGGTGGTGCCTGGTCCCAGGGGAAGTGCACAGTGACCTCTCTTGGCAGACCAGCACTTAGTCCAGAAGAGGCCAAGCTACCAGAGCTCCCGGGAGTCCCAGTGTCCAGGAAAGTGGTGCAGCCTCATGTCTTCCTTCTGGAGGTGCTCATAGCAGGACTGGCAGGAGAGAGAGCAAGGCTGGGGCCAGTTGGCCTACCTGCCCCAGCCACACGCACAGCATCTAAGGCCAATAGGTGCCTGCTCCACCTCCCAGTCATGTCTCCAACACAGACCTCAGCCACTGCTGCAAGGGAAATGGGGCCTCTCCTCCCCCACTGTGCTTGTGATGCAGCCTGCAGCAGTCATGACCCCAGGGTCCCCAGGGCTGGGATGCACTGTAGGACACTCCTCAGCCCCTCAGCTCCATAGGACCAGTGGTTCTGTGAAGACCCTTCCCACGGAGACACATAAGCAGTGAATTTCAGCTCATCCCCACAATGATGTTGGGTTTGGTCTGAGGAAAGGCAGTCAGGGCATTGTACCTCGGCCCCAGCCTCTGTTTCTCACCTCCAGGGCTGTAAGCAGAAAGTCATACAGGCCTCCTATGTGGATAGGGTTCATCATATCACGGATCAGGTGGATCTCAGCTCCCAGATGCTGGATTCTGGATAACACCAACAGAGCGAGGGAGAGGAGAGGAGATTGTCAGAGACTGGAGCCACTCAACTGAGGAAGGAGCTTTAGCACAGAGAGCTGGACATCTGAGGTGTGCCCCTGCCCCTGTCTCTGGCACCCAGAAGACCCTGGCTAGGACCCTCCCCTTTCTGGGCCTCAGCTCCCCAATCTCTACTGAGAAATGTGGCATCTGCGGCATGTCTTGGTTGGGGGTGTGGCAGGGTGGGCCCGATCCTGCTCCAGCCCATCCCCAGCTCCTAGCCTAGCTGGGCCTCACCGGGCACGTGACACCACATAGATGAGCAGAGGCAGCAGGTCATCCATGGGCAGTTTGTGCTCCTGGCCCAGCACCCGTGACACAGTGGCCTCGATTTCCCCATATGTCCTCTCTAGCACCTCCAACTTCTCCCGTGGGTCCACCGTGGTCCTGTAGCAAGTTCCAGGTCAAGGCCCTTGGGCTCAGTCCCAACTGGGAGCCCCCAAAACTCCCACCTCCACCCAACCCTCCCTAATGCATGGACTCACATGATCTTCTGTAGACACTCAGTGGCTGACAGGAAGCACTTGTCCCTGACCAGGGAGTACCTCTGCAGGGAGTCGGGGAGTAACCAGATGAGGCCCCACAGCTCTGACACCCCCTCCTTCCCAGGGCCTGGGTTGGACCTGAGTCTTTTGCCACCCCACACTTCCCCATCACTGGCTTCAACACAGTCCTGCCCTGGGGGTTATGTGACCCAGGCAAGTCCCTGCTCCACTGAGGGCCTCAGTTTATACAACCATAAAATGGGGTAAATGGTCTCCAGGAGGTTGGGAAGATCAAAATGGATAAAGAAGATAATAACAGCAATGGCCACCGAGTGCCCCCCACTTCTGAGTGCCTATATCAGTAGTTCTCAAGCCCAAGGCTTATTGAAACACAGAGTCCTGGTCCACTCAAATCTCTGACTCAGCAGGTAGACCCAAGAATCTGCTGTTCTACTAGGTTCCCAGATGACCCTGACGCTGCTGGTCCAGCAAGCACATTTTGAGAACAACCACCTTATGTGCCACTTTACCCTCACAGTGATCCTGTGAGGTAGTTCTAGCATTGGCCCCCCTTTTTGGTTGGGGAACCAAGACACAGAGCTCAAGTATCCTGGTCACACAGCCAGTGAAGGGCAGAGCCTGTGTTGAGCCTGGTCCCTGTGGGCCAGCACCCACACCCTCACCCACACAGGGAGGTCAGAACAACAGTAAGCCTGACACCCTGCCCTGCCACTCCCCCACTCCTCTGCAGCCTCTACCCAGCAACTGACTGATCACTTAGGGTTCAGGCCTCCTGCTTACCTGATTGGTCGTTAGCGTGAGGTCCTTGAGGGGCCACAAGTGCCTGAAATTGAAAAAGTGAGACCAGGGACTTTGCCAGGACAAGGAGGCGGGCCTGAGGTTAGATGGCAAATTCCTATGTCACTGCATCCCCATTGAGCACAGGAAGGGGAAGGAAATGAACCCAAGGGCAGGGGAGGCCAGAGGGTTCCTAGAGAAGGCAGTGCTCTAGGAGCTGAACTTGGGTGGGGAGAGGAGGATAAGGGCGACACTGCTGGCCAGGGGCCTGCATGAACAAGACCGTAGTGGCCGGGCAGAGAGTAAGAGCTGAGGGAATTGGACTCTGCTCTGGAGGCCTTGGTGGGCTAGCACAGGGTGGTGAGTAGGAAGGATGCAGCCCTCATGGGACTCAGAAACAGCGTGGTGGCAGGAACTGTGAAAATGGCAGCATCTGAGGCCAGTGTGGAGGAAACAGCAAGGAGGAGAAGGAAGGAGGGGTGCTTCAGAAGCCCTTGGCAGCCAGGTTTCCAGGCTGGTGACTGGTCAGATACAGGAAACATTCACAGAGATGGAAGAGAAAACAGGGGTGGGGGAAGCACCATCCCTATGTGACAAAGGTGACCTGGGCAGGGAAGGAGAAGGTCCATGCCCTCCACTGGGGACAGGGTCACTTGCGGCATCAGTGAGTCGTCAAAGGAGTGCTAAGGAGAAAGGGCATTTGGGGGACTGAGGCTAGAAGGGAGGCCTGGGGTATGGTCAAGCACCTGCCTGATCTGCTTCCAAAACAGTCCTCAGTTTCCCCTAGGGACCTCCCCTTCCCCACTCTCAGTTCAAGTGCTCAGAGCAGGTGACCTTGCCTTAGTGGCAAGGTGGATACTGAGGCAGACCTGGTCAGTAGCAGCCAACATTCAGGGATGGGCTCAAGACCCAAGCCAAGCCAGTGAGGGGCTCCAAGGGTTCTACTGGAAGAAACGGCAGTTCCCTGTGGGGACTGAGTTAGGAGGATCTAAACCTTGAGTGGCTGGTGCAGTGTTTGTCATCACAAAAAGGAGCCAGAGAGCAACTGAGATAAAGAGAAGGTGCTTCCCATTTGTCATTCAGTTCAGCACCTAGATCCAGCTACACCTGAATGCATAACCCTAGAACTTCATGGGCACATGCATCAATTAGCCCCACCTCCCTTTTTTGCTGAAAACAGTCTTGTATAGACTTTATATTATCTGCCACACTACAGTGCTGGCTAACTTGGCATGGGAGAGGGCTTACTTCTGCACCTCGAGGAACTCCAGCAGCTTGGTGTCAGGGAAGAGGCTCAGGTTGGTGATGCCCTGGCTATAGAGGCTGTCCTCCCGCTCGTGAAGAAGCAGGTAGAGTGTGAAGAGCTCTGAGTAGAAGCTGGGCAGCACAAGGGGCAGCATCAATCCATGCACCTGGAGGTCTCTGAGGAGAAAGAGGGACAGGTAGGGATTGGCAGAGCAGGGCCTGGGGGCAGAGTCACTATTGGGGCTGCCTCTCAAAGACCTCCTAGTCCCACAATAACCAGTGTCCCAGCTTTTAGCCTCCTCCTCCCTAGAAAACCCTTTGCAAGCTTGTTCTCATCAACATTCACCCTTTCAATTGACAGCCATGGCTGCTTCATTCCCTCATTTGATTTTGAGAACTAATATGGTAGATGGGGCAGGATGTGATCCCTATTTGAGTGAAAGCAAATGCCAGGGCCCTAGAGGGCCAAGCAACTTGCAGCAAAGCTCTCAGTAGCCTTCCAGGCTAGTCTAGGTCTGCCTTCTAGTTTGCTGTGTTTCCTAGAACTCCAGGGGAAAGTTCTCCCTAAGGTCTAACCCTATTTCCCATGCCTCCTACAGTGCAGTGACAGAAAGCCCTCTCTGCTCAGGAACATCTCCAGGCCTGGGATCTGAAGGCAAGTTATAAGGTTTGCTCCAGAGACTGAAAGGCAGATTTAATGACCCACCTAACTCCTGCATGACCTCAGGTTCATCTCCAAGCAGGCCTCAATTTCCCTATCTGTGCACTAGGAGAAGAAGGGTGCCTCAGGGAGCTGCTCACCCTCTGCACACTGAAGGATGGCATTGCATGTTTAGAACAAAAATGCATTCAACACACTGTAGCAGTGCCCTCTCCCTGGTCGCTCATGGGACAGAGGTCATGGTCATTCTGATCCACAAGTGATCAATGAACAACGCTTGGTCAAAACAATGATACCCTACACTTCTCTCAGAACTGTCTCTTTCCCCTGAGGGAGGCCCTAGGAACAGAACCTGTAGAGGCCTGGGCTGGTCACCTTGTCTCTGCATCTTCATCCTCCTCTGGGGCCTGGCCCTTACGCTGTAAGGCAACGTGTAGCAGACCCCTGCAAACCAAGGAGAGGAAGGGTGTGGCTGCCACCTCCCACAGAACCAGAGCACCACCTCTCAGTCATCATAGATGACAGCTATGGGCACAGGGCATGCGGAGGCCAGCCTCTCAAACCACAGCACTTAGAAGGCTGGAGCTACAGGAAGTCAGCTGGAAAATCCTGGAACCCCAGAAACAGAAGGAACTACAGCACCCAGGGCTTCCATTTGTAATGTTTGATGGGGTCACAGCTCAGCCTGGGTCTGAGTTCAGGATCAGGCTCAGCCCTGAGGTCAGCAGTCAGTCCAGGCACTGGTTAGGCCTTGGACTCTAGCTGAGGGCTGCAGTTGGGCCCTTGCTATCACCTCCCCACACTCTAACCCCTTTGCTCACCAGCTGCACACTGACCAACCCTTTGGTTCTTTGTTGAGTAAGACCTGAGGCAGAGGCACCATTCTTATCAGGGTGCCAGGCAGAGCTGATGCTTGGAAAGGGCATTACCTCCCCCATTTAGGTCACAGGGCAGTGGCTGTCCCTGTGTGCCACCAAGCTCACCTGTAGGTGGCCCAGAGTTCCTGGGCATGCTGCTTCACCTCCTCCTGGGCCAGCTCCTGAAGGTGCTTGTTGGCCCCAACGCCTGCATATGTAGCTTGGAAGGTCCGCATCAGTGTCTGAAGCAGCTTCCCCAGAGGGTGCAGTGTGTTGCTCAGAGCCTGGGCCAGTGCACAGGCAGTGAGGACACACTCAGCTCCAGAGTCTGGAGCACAGCTTGCCCAGACAAGCCCCAAGACTGTTTCCATTTTAGTGATGGGACTACTGAGGCCCTCTGAGAACAAGGGGCCCACAGGTCTGTCTCCTCCAGCTACATCCTGCTATAAGAAGTGGGACGCTTTCCCCCCAGGGTCAGCGAGAATGTCACCCCCTTGGCCACCCACCCCAGGGCCCTCACCTTTCTGAGGTGCTCCTGCAGGGCCTTAGGCTCCCGGTGCTGCAACAACTCCTCCAGGATGTCTTCAATTGTGCCCACACTGTCCTCAGGGCACGTCCTGCAGCACCACATGCAGCATCCCTCACCCAGGCTGGAGGCAAGCCCGTCCCTCCGAGCCTTCCACCCCAGCCCTCTCTGACCTGTGGTGTACACTTCCCCACCTGGCCTCACCTCTCACAGCACAGGTAATCCTGGGACTTGCGCAGCTCCCTCGAGCTCTGCACCTGGAAGCCCAGCAGAGCCTCCTGCAGGTCCCCAGGGCAGCCAGCACCCACAAAGTCCCGGAAGGGGGCGTACACTCCTTGCCAGCGGCTCTCCACAGGGAAGGCACCCAGGCCCAGCTGCCTGCCATGGGGAAGGGAGTGATAGGGACAGGGACAGACAGAGCTGCAGTGGGTAGAAGGCCTTGGAGGAGGTGTGGGGTACCAGCTGGACCCAGGTTCAGGCCCCAGGAAGGGCGAGTAGATCAGGGCAAGCAAATTTGGCTGACCTCTACAGCTCCAGGAGAAAGACAGGCAGAGAGAGGGACAGAGAGAATTTACCCTGCAATGGAGAAGAGAGACAGAGGCACACAGAGTCCTAGAAAGATGGACACAGAAGGTGGGCAGATCAGGAGAGCTGGGGGCCAAGTCCAGAGAGTGGGGCTTGGCCCAAGAGAGACCAGTGCCCAAAGTCTGAGATTCCCCTGCCATGATACCCTGTTCTTCCCACTCCTATAGCCTTCTTCCTATGGTTGATCCCACCTTGGCCAACAGGCCAGGCCTGGCTGTATGCATTTCTCTTGGACACTGTAATGGACCCTGCCCTCCCAAGTCACATTCACAGGTTATGTAAACCTGTACTCCACCCAGGATTACCATCTAATCCCAGATCCTGCTTTCAGGGAGATACAGCATGCAAAGATAGAGGCTACATCTGAAGGCTTCCATCCCTACATCTGAAATGCAGCCCAGTGCCACTTCCCATTAGAACTGCCACCCACAGAGATTCCATCTGTGAAACAGCAACTCTTCCTCAACAGATATAGTAAGACTCACCACTTGAATTACAGTTTTCCAAGGAAGAATTATGTGCCCATGGGAAAATAAGTCTATCTCCCTCTCAAATACTCCTTGATAGAGAAAATGATTCCACACTTAGCAAATTTCCTTCTTCATATTGGCTGCCAGGAAACTCACACCCAAGATCATGCTCAATCATAATCCTTATAGGGCCCATCTGTACATCCCTTTCTTTTACAGGCAATTAATGCTTTTATTTTCCATTTTTTCTTATGTATTTGGTTTGTAAACTGTCTTATACCCTTTCTAGGAAAAAAAGGAGGATCTAACAAAGCCTAAAAATAATATTTTCTCCAGTTTTGTGGCATATGGAGTTACTATCACATAGCCCTTGAGTCGAAAAGTCTCTGACTGGAGGGTTATAAGCCTTGGCCTCTCTGAACTCTCTGAGGTGCTAAGAGGAAGCCTCCCTGATAATACCTGAGTCTTTGGGATGGAAATACAGGCACACCCCCAGACAGGCTCTCACCTCTTGCAGGTACTACTTGGGTCCAGCGGGAGAGCAGCTGTGTCCAGTACACCCTGGGTGTGCAGTCCTCGCCCTGCCCCACTGCCAAATGAGCCCTCCAGGGTGAAGCCATTGGGGAAAGTGACCTTGCCCTAGAGCCAGGAGAGGGAGGTAGGGATGTCTGTCTGCTCAGCTGCCATTCAATCATGACAGGCCCTGTGCCTATCCATCTGGGCCGGGGAGGATGGGTGGGCTTTCCACCATCTACTCAATCTTCCTCACCTGGAAGGGCTTATAAAAGGTGGACACATGCCCCCCTCAACAGTCATGCCCACCCCCCAGGGAGACCAGGAGGAGAGGAGAGGGGAGAGAGGGAGAAGGGACACACAGGAAAGAGTGGGGAGAACCATCACTGTTGGGCTGGGCTAGGGCTAAGTCCAGAGACAGGCAGAGCCTGGGGAGGGCAACTCCTTGCTGCATGGGGATGTCCCATTCCTAGCACTGCTGCTCTCCATCCAGTCATTATGAAATTAAAATAGCCCCTACATTTCCAAAGTCCCTAGCAGGATGCTGAAGAATGGTGACTAGGGACAGTTGCCAAAGGCACTGGTGGTGGAGAAGGCAGTGCATTCTGAACTAGGAGGGCTCAGCCAGGAGACGACCACTAATACCCTCTGGACACAGGCAAGTGCACTGGGCTGGTCCCTTTTCAGCTTGCTGTAGAATCCATCACAAGTCCATGGCAGGGAGCAGTCGCTGTGACCACACCTTGGAGGTGATGGAGGTAGGAGAGGGCCTCCCCTAACTGCCCACCCTCTTCCTGCATCCTTGGTCCCAGGGGGAGATTACAGATTCCAGCCAAGGCTTCTCAGGGTGTGGAGTGGGGTCTCAGTGGCCCTCACCTTCCCCATGAGGGTCAGGTCCTTGGTGAAGGTGCCCTCATACAGGGAGTCGTCCTCAGAGAGAAGGATACCTGGTCCCTTGGGAAGGAAGTGGGGAAGAGAGGAACAGTAGGTGAGAAAAGGCCAGGAAACAGGGTGATGAGGGGATGGCAAAAGAGAGGAATTGGACACTGACCCACAGGAAGAAGGTCCCTGAGCCCCATTATACCCCCAGGGCTATGCTTCAGTAGGATGCTGGTCCTAGTAGGTCTGTTGAGCCCCCTGAGCCCCAGGGACCTCAACACTGGGTGTCCTTAGATGACACTTCCAGTCCTGGTTCCTCACCCCCAGTAGCCTCTTTAGGAAGCCCCAGGAGCTCAGGAAGTGCTGGCTTTTCCTGAACCATCCCTGCTTCCTGCTTGTCACTAGCCCTGGAAACAGCAGAGCTGATCAGGTTCCCTTGCCACATTGGCTGCCAGGAAGCTCAGAGCAAAATGGGATGCAATTTATGTCCAACTTATTTCTGAATCTACTTTGTGTGCCTACTCTTGCCTTCTCTTCCTCTTCCCACGTAGGCATCCTTCAATCGCATCCAGAACAAATGGAGTATAAACCAACAGTCACAACCATCAGGCCAGTGCCCCATGAGTACAAAGTGCCCAGCAAGGGGTAGTGAGGTGAGAGGAGAGGGCTCAAGAACCCAGCTCAGCAGCCTAAGGGTGGGCCTCTGGTCTGCCACTTAGTGGGTGTGACACTGGGCAGCTTCTCTAGCCCCTCTAAGCCCTCCTTTGTCATTCATACACTGGAGATGATAATGACATCAACTTGCAGGGCTCCTGGGAGCATCCAATGAGATCACAGTTGGAGGCTTAGCTAAAGCCAGGCATGGAGGTAGGGGCCCACCAGTGTCAGCTACTGTACCTACTGGCATCATCAATACCATGCATTGCTTTCTTGCTATTTCATGGAGTCCCTATAAGAACCATTAACCTGAGTGGCTGATGGGGAAACTGAGGCTGGATGGGACACAGATTTAGCCAAGGCCAGGGAGTGGCAGAGCTAGGTTCCTGCCCAGATTCCAGTCCCCTTTTTCAACCTCATCTAAATAGCCTCAGCTCAGCTTCAGGTACCCCAGAGTATATGGGGTGCAGGGAGAGGGGTAGCTTAGGACACAGACAGGTCTCCTCACTCACCACCATCTTGTCCGCATGGAAGGTGCCCTGGTAGCAGACGCCCGCCTGAGTGACCACGACCCCTGGGCCGTGGCGCTGGTCAGCCTGCCACATGCCAATATAGCGTTCGCCCCTGGGGCAAGAGGGTGTGGCCAGAGTTGGATCAGAATCATTTGCATGCACCTCTGGGTGCTTTGCTGGCATGGGATTGGTGGGGGGGAAGGAGCAGTGATATCACCTTAATCCACTCAACTCAGACATGGGACAGGTGAGGTCAGGACCCCCAAGAGTAACAGAGAGTGGAGGATGGAGGAAGGCTGCCTGGAGAGAGCATTCTGGGAGGCCTCCCAATGGAAGTGACAGGAGGGCAGATGGAATTGGGGTGCAAAGTCATGGAGGCAGGAGTATACAACAGATATGTGTACATTCACTGGTCCAGAAAGGCTGGCAGGGTGCCTGGGAGGCACGGGGGGGATGAGGTCAGAGGACCAGGCAAGGCTGTGATTGCCAGGCCGAGGACCTGGACAGCCTGAAGGGCTGCAGTCCTTAGATGGCACCAGGTCAAGGGTCAGAGACTCCTCTCCCATACCATGAGGAGGGGGTCGGAGTTGGGGTGATCCTGCAGTCAGGATGGTCTGGGGTCCCTCATTTTGACCCCCAGCAACAACCGGAGAGTAGAGATGAAGGGAAGGACTTAAGACTCTGTGGGGACGAACAGGAGCCTGTGCCCTGAGACAATCTGGTCTGTGGGTCCTCCCAGAACCTGATACTGGGGGTGGTGGCTGAGGAGCACTCACCTGTCACTGTCTTCTTCGATGCCATAGCCGCTCCTCTGGCCCTTCTCCCAGTGGCCTGTATATCTGAAAGGCCGGGCAGCCTGCAGGGCACTCTCAAAGACCCCAAACCCATGCCGCAGGCCCTCCTGGAAGTAGCCCTTATAAACCTCGTCAGTGCCATACCTGGGGACGGTCACAAACAGCTGGCCCCGCCTCACAGAATTCCACCCAGAGGACAACGTGCAATCTCCCAGCACCGCCCACCCTCGCCAGGAGAGAGTAACTTACTCACAGATACCATAGCCACTCATGCTGCCTTCCCGCCAGTGGCACTTGTAACAGTCAAACCTGTCCTCAGAGGCCTGGGGCAGCAGGCGGATGCCAAACCTGACGGTGAGGTTGGGCAGGAAGCGGATTGGTACCAGGTATCAGTACCTTGCATCCCTATGCATCCCGGATCTGAGATACCTGCCACACCCTGACACCAGGAGTATCCCTGCCAGCCCAAGGAGCCTTCCAGATAAGTGGAAGGCTCTTTTCTTCCAAAGGCCCCTCTCAGGATCCCTCTTCCTCTGCTCTTCCTCCATGAGCCCTGGAGCACCTTCTGGCCCTGTATCACGTCCTCCAGGACCTGAAGCTGAGACCCACCCCACTATTCAGGGACTCGGTCCAGTGAGAGGCTGGACCAGATGATCTCTAAGGGAGCTTAGGGTGGGGCCCGACTGGTGACAGCAGCAGGGGAGGAAAGAACTCCCTGCCCGCCACATGCACTGGCACCAGCCTCAGACAGCCTTACCCATGCTCCAGGCCCTGGCGGAAATCTCCCACATGATTCTGCCCATCTGGCCACTTCAAGGTTCCCCTAGAACACAGTCAAGGTCCACGGGCCTCAGGTTCACCATACTTATCCCTCAACAGCCTCCGCTGCAGACTTTGTCAAAGGTCCTCTCTTCTCCCTTGGACTGGCTGCTCCGCCTTCACCCAGTCCTCTGGTCTGAGCTCTAAGACCCCCCACAGAAAGCCCTTTTAGCCCTTCTCTGCTCCTGATACAACTGTACCAGTAGCCTCATGGGATAGACTCACTACATCCTATAAGGAGAGCCCAGGAAACATCTAGTTTCCCCTTTCCCCCTGACCAACAAAAAGCTTAAAGCTAAACTTCAAAATCAAGTTAAATGCTAGTCAGTGGGGTTTCTATCATCCTACTCTCATCTTCTGATATGGCACTGTTTTTTCTGTCTATTTTTTCATAAGCCTCCTTAAGCCCTTCCTACAAGTAGGAAATTTCCAAAAACTAATGGATATGCTTAAGATTATAACATTGATCTTGCAAGGGTACAAGTGAATCTTTCTATAAGTAGAATATGAATGTTTTGACATAATAACTAAGAAAGTTACATGAAGGCTATGTTAACCAGTTTGATGGAAGTGTCTTGGATTTTCTATGAAAACACCACACTGTACCCCCAAAGTGCATCAATGTACACAGTTACCATTCAATAAAAAAAAAAAAAGATTATAACATTGCAAGTCCCTTCCTCTCTCTGGGTTTCAGTTTTCCCAACTGTAGCATGGGGTGGAGCCACATGTTCTATAAAGGCTTTCTGCTTGTGGGATCACTCAGACCTATGACTGAGACCTTGGGCAAGTCATGTTTGACACTGTGCCTCAGATTCTGGACCTATAAAATGGGCAAAAAACAACACTTCCTAGAAGGTTCTTGTGAGAACCAATGAAGAAAGGATGTGTGCAAAACATTTCATCACCCCCAGACAAACCTATGTAGATAGGAGAATTACCCTCCCACCCTTCTAAGACAGTAATGCTGTCCCTGCAGGCCAGCCACCTTACTCTCCAGGTGTCACCATCAAGAAGTTATTTGATATGGACCTACTGTGGGCCACGCCCTGTCCAAGAGGACTTAAGACAGACTTTGAGAAAAAAAGAGAATTGCCCCACTGACCACAGACAGTAACAGCCTTTGGCGTATGCCCCGAGGGAACCAGCTGCGTGGTGCTGTCTGCCCCCTCAGGCTCCCCACCCTCGGAGCCCGGAGTTCCAGTCACTCACTTGCCGTGGGGCCTGCCCTGGCACCACTCGCCCTCATAGGTAGCTTGGCAGAAGCGGCCTTCCGCATGGAAAGTGTATGCCCCACAGCGGCAAGCAGGGGGCTCAGAAGCCTCCAGGCCCGCCCCTAGCACGGGGAAGTCCTTCTTCCCACGCAGAGCCTGGCATACAGCCTGGGTCACCTTCCACTGCCAGACTGCCTGGTGGGGACAGAGAAACACAGTTCAAGTCACTGCTGCTGGAGCATCCCCCTCTAAGAAGTCTTTTGGGAAGCTCCAGGTACCACGCCTCTATCCCCACTCCACTCTGTCACTTGAAACATTGCTCCCATGAGATCCTTGGAGCAGCCTGAGATCCTTGTCTGCAGTTACAAAGTCTACCCAAGGGGCCAAACAAGACCACAAGGCAGGGACCAACACAGGCCCCAATTCTGGCTTTATAGAGAAAAATACCCTGTTCTCTTTGGCATTCTGATGCCTGATCCTAGCCTGATCCCTGATTTCCTCTGACCCTGGCCCCCGAGGCCTGCTAGCACCTCACCAGCACTCCTGGGGAGCTCTGCAGGGTTGTACACTTCTACCCTGCTGCACCCTGTCCCCTGAACTCACTTCCCCAATTCACAGCTCACCCACATTCACCTGGCCCTGGGGATCCTTGGTACGAAAGGACAACTCTTCTTCAGGTGTAAGGAGGTGAAATGTGCACCTAGACAGACAGAGGTGATGAGGAGACCCCAGCTCTGTCCAGGAGGGTGTGGGAGCCTGAATTAGAGCCCTGGGGTGTGGGCAGGTGCCATGGGTGTGGACGGAGAGAAGGCCCAGGTGTCAGCCGAAAGAGTCACTCACCTGTCCTGCCCAGGATTCACCCACACTAGCTTCAAATCAAAGGTGTGGATGTTGTGGCCCTGGAAGAAAACAGACACAGGCATCTTCCAGAACCCAGACAAGATGCTCATCTGCCCTCTGCCCCAGTCTTTGCCCAGACACCAACCTGGAAGCCCTGAGGCTGCTCCGTCTAGTGTTCCCTGTGCTGAGTCCCTTACCCTGTGCTTAGTCCCTTACCAGGACTCCCACCTGCTCCCCATCCCAAGGGCAATTCTGCCACATCCCTTCCACCCCAGGGCCTGGCCAGGGGCCTAGGACCAGCCTCTGGTCCCCTGGGCCACCAGAGTAGTCTTCTGGAAATGCAGCTCAGACCCTGTCTGTCCCCACTAGAAGCTGTCTAAGGCTCCTGCAGCCTGGGGGCTGGGACTCCATGCTAAGCCATTTCAAGACCCCACAGACCACTTGGGGCTCATGTGTTCCTACCCTCTCCATCTGTACCATCACGGCCACTCCACACTGCACCTTCCTGAGCTTACCACACACTCTCCACACTTTGGAGCTTTGCCTATGCTGGCCCCTCTACTAAGTTGGAATGCCATCCTGCTCTGAGAGCCAGATCAAAGTCCTTTCCTCTAGGACAGTGATTCTCAACCTTCCTAATGCTGCAGCCCTTTATACAGTACCTGCGGGTCACACCCACAGGTTGAGAACCACTGCTCTAGGAAGATGTTGTACGGCAACTTCCTGCCTGGCCCAGGCAGGTCAATCACTGCTCCATGGCCAGAGGAAGAGGAGGAGGCATGAGGTCCAGACACAGGCCAGGGGCAAGAAAGGGCCCAACATAGACAACAGCATGTGCAAAGGTCCAGAGGTAGGAGAGGACACTAGCACACTAAGGGACACTATCTCATCAGTGTACCTGGAGCACAGAGTATGAAGTCAGGAGTGGGAGGGGAACTCAAATTAAATTAGAACCAAACCCAAAACAAGGCTGCAGGGGACACAGGTTGTGTGCAAGGGGGGTTCAGGACAATATTCTAAGGGACAGAGAAAATAGCACTGTGGACCTCACAAGGGCAACAGGAGTTCAGAGGGATTAAGCACAGTCAAGAGGTTCTGGCTGAGTAACACTTCCCAAACCCCAGGTCTGCCTCCCTCACATTTGTAATGCTGAGAGTCCAGGCCCTGCTTCTAGGGGTAAGTTTCCCTATAAGCCTTCTCACCCAGGCCTCTCTAGTCACCACAGGCTGCCCTTGACCTCCACTAGGGGTTCCTGGCTTACCTGAGTACAAAAGGAACTAAGAGTTGTCTAACATCTGCTCTAAGACAAACTCACTCAGTGCTCCACTTTCCAGATGAGGACCCCAAAGTGAAGATGTTTGAACAAGGACACAGGCTGAGAGGACTAAAGCCAGTATGCACCCTGGGGCAGCCTGTCCCCACAGTCCATGCCCCTTTGGGGATGGCTCCACTGATGGCCCTCACCCCAATATTCTCCTTTCTGTCCCCGACCACATCCCCAAGCCCAAGTTCTCAGTCCCAGTAGATTGTCCCTTTCCTGCTCCTTTTTGTTTTGAGACGGAGTCTCACTTAGTCACCCTGGGTTGAGTGCCATAGCACCACAGCTCACAGCAACTTCAAACTCTTGAGGACAAGTGATCCTCTTGCCTCAGCCTCCCAAGTAACTGGGACTACAGGTGCCCACCACAAGGTCCAGCTATTTTAGAGACAGGGATCTCACTCTAGCTCAGGCTGGTCTCGAACTCATGAACTCAGGCAACCCACCCACCTTGGCCTCCCAGAGTGCTAGGATTATAGGTATGAGCCACCACACCCAGCCTCCTGCTCCTTTTTCAACCAGACCCAACGAATCCTGTTATGGCCCCAAGACCTCAAGTGAGTGCCACTCCAACCTGCAGCAAGATGAGGGCATCATCAAAGAGCATCACGCGTTCAGCTCGCAGTGGGGTGACGGTCACAGGTACATCCTCGCTGTCTTGCAAGAGTCGGTGAGCAGGGGTGCAGAGCACATGCTGTGGGGCAAGGAAGGTGGTACAAGGAATCCCTGTGATAGGACCTGCTAGCAACTCCGCCACCTCTCCCGCTACCCCAGACACCCACTGGAGGCCTTCTCCAGAGGACATGGCATGACCCCCAGGTCAATGACAGGCACCAGAGCTCTCAGCTATGAGGGACCATTCCTCTCCCACACTCCACTCCCATGTTGTGGCCCCTGCCATGCCCCCTTCAACCCTCGGCTGAAATCCTGTAATCTTTGTCCCTCTTCAGCAATCCTTATCCCTTCTACTTGTTATTCCAGTTCTCCACCCTGGCTCAAGCCTGTGATACTTGCCCTTGCAAGGCACAGGGGACTCCCTCCTTGCAAAGGCAGCGCATGCCCTGGTGGGCAGTGATACAGGGGTGTGTGACTAGTGACACTCCCAGAAGGAGGGTCAGTTCTGCTAACTGCTTCTTCCCCAGAGCCAGGTCAGGCCTAGGAGGGACTTGGCAGATGGATGAGGGTGGCTAAACAGAGGGCCCTTACAGCCACCACCCCTTTCCAGATGGGGAAACCAAGGCATGGAGAACACAGCGAGCAGCTCAAGCCACCCAACAGCCCCATGCCCAATGCCTTTTGATTGCCCCTCAGGCCCCAAACTCACCCTCTGCCGGCTGCTCAGAGTGTGCCAGAGGGCCTGTGTGGCCATGGCCTGGTCCAATGCCTGACTCATGAAGGACTGTAGGTTCCCAAAGAGAGTGGCTGCATTCACCACCAGCTCCCGGGCAGGGTGGTACTGCAGGCAACAGGGCAACCAGTGAGGGGAGTAGCTTGCCAGAACTTTCCCCACCCTGTGATAGTCACCCCAGTTCTGTCCTGGCCTCAGCTGGTCAGGAGTCCTGAATCTAGGCCAACTCCTCTTCTATTGTTGGGGTGGTGTAGCAAGGTGATTCCAGAGGCGTCTGGACTATTCTATGCCTCCCCCAGCCTGGCCCAGGGACCATGTGTCCTAACACCCTGTATATGGTTCTACGTCTGCTCTCCAGATCTCTGCTGGCTCCACCAGGGGCATGTGCCTCAGACACCCCAAGGCAGGGCCATGACCCACTAAAATTCTCCAGGGCAGGACCATGTCCTCTCAACACTCCAGGACAGGATCTGACCCACCAAGATTCCCCAGGGCAGGACCATGTCCCCCTCACTACCCCAGGGCAGGGCCATGACTCCCTTGGGCCCCAAGGGCACGACCAGGTCCTTCTTAAACTAGAGTTCCTGGGCTCACTAGGTCTTCCCTCCCCAGTTGGACTCCCTGAGCCTGGGCCCGTGGCTCCCCTCCCTCACTTCCCCACAGGCTGCTTCCCCCGGTACCCACCTCTGGGACGGTGTCCTCAAGCCTCAGCAGGAGGAGCACATACTGTTGCACGTGATGGGTGAGCGGCTGGCGGAAAGCCTGGAGCAGTGCTGGGCCCACCGAACCCTCCGAACCCATGCCGCCCAGGAGCTGCCGCAGCGCCTTCCTTTGGCCCCTCCAGTACTCACTGCATGTAGGGAAGGCCACACACCTCCTTCACTCCCCCTCCTCCATGCCCACACCCACCACCATGGCCAGCCCAGGGTCAGCCACGCACCTACACCGTCTACGCTATCAGACCAACACAGTACTGAGTTGCCCTTGCCAGAGGTTTAGTAGCAATATCCCCAGCCTGAATATGAATGCCCTTCCTCCTCTGCCCCAAGGCTGGCCTGGCTAGTGGATGCCTGCATTCTGCTCTTGGCCTTACTAGGCCTTCCCTCCCTTTCTTCCAGTGTGGGTCAGTATAGATTTCTTAGAGCTAGGAGTCCTCCAGGCTGCATCGTAGGCTGTGACACTTGCTGCTCTGGGGATGGGGTTTTACTGACCCTGCCCTCGCCTAGAGACCTCCACCTACCCAGGGACCCACTGCGGCAGCCCCTTGCTCACCTCCTCCTCTTTGCCAGCTTCTGAAAGGCCTGTACCACTAAGCAGCTTGTGTAGGATTCAATGTACCTGCAGGCAGCACAGAGGACCCCCTGAAAACCCAGTACCCAGCTCTAGACCTAAATCCTTGCTCTGTGGCATCCCCAGATCTCACCCACTGAGCAGCTACAGACCAGAGGGCCCAGTAAGTAACCTAACTGACCAACAAGACATTAACATACAAAGTCTTTCTGCCCTGGGAGGCCCCAGTGCTCAGTCTGGAGTATCTGAGCTTGCTGCCAGGCTAACAACCAAGCCCAAGTCAGGCCAGCCCCAGGTGAGCTTCAACCCCAGGTGTCTTAATGCCAGGTGGCACTCTGATACCAAGACAAGGTCCCAGGTGCACCTCAGTGATCTTACTCTATGTGGAGCTGCAGGACATGGTCAGTAGCTCGCAGCAGCAGCAGGGATTCCAGACCAGTAGAATCGGGGTGACGCAGCCTCTCCCTCAGTGAGTGCAGGCTTTCCTCTGTCACCTCCCACAGTTGCTGGGAGCTCCTGTGCAGCTGTTGTAAGAGCCGCAGGCACTCTCTACTCTGCGGCTCCGAAGGCTCTGGGGCTGGGGCAGGAACATAGCCACACTGTGAGCAGGGGACATGACAGCTCCATATCCCAGGGAATACACAACAGTTCCACGTGTTCGCAGGAGGGCAAGCAGAACCCCATAGCCCTGTGGCTGCTGCAGGGTCCCGCATCCCTGGGGACCCTACTGCTCAGCAGGAGAAGTGCAGGCTGGAGAGTGGGCAGCACCCTTCAGGAGTACACAGGACGCACATCCACCTCCTCACAGGGACCCTGTGATTCAGCCCTGTAATCTCAGGGAACCAAGCACCTACACGAATTTTGCCTGTCTCTGGCTTCCTCACCCTGGACTCCTCAGATCCAGAATGTGGAGTCCACAGAGTCACATGGTCAGTCCTCTGCCATTTCACAGATGCATAAACTGAGTCCCCAAGTGGAAGGCACCTGCCCAAGGGCACTGCATAGGTGAAACTCAAGCTGGAAGCAAAACCTAGGTTCCCAGCTTCTAGTCAGGCTTTTCCTGGTACCACCAGGTGGCCTGGGTGGGAGCCAGATGAGAATTCAGGCAAAGGGCTATTTCCAGGTCTGTGGTCTGGGAGAGGAGGAATTTCATCTCTATGCATAGGCAGGGGCCAACACAGGTTCATAGCCTGGCCCCTCAGGGTCCCTTTAAGAAGGGAGCAGTTAGCAACTGTAGGCCAGGGCCCCAATTCCATCAGGAGATACTGAGACCAAGCATCACCACTTCTGTTCAAGGTTGAAAAAAGCTACGTCTCAGACAGTCCAACAAGTCAGGACTCCTGTCCCTGAGATCATTCTTAGTCCCTTGCCCTCCCCACTGGAGAGCCTAGATTCACTCACCGGCAGAAAGCAGGGGCTGGAAGACAAGGCTATTGACACGGGCGAGGGTGGCTGAGAAGACCTCCTCTAGCCGCAGCAGGGCTGCCTCCTGAGGGCTGCACATTGCCAGGGTACCCTCCTCAGGGCTTCCTAGGAGGACACAGGTCACAGCCAGAAGGCAATGGCAGGAGTAGGGTCAGTACCCATCCTCTAAGGCTGAGTGCGTACTCAATCAGAACTGAGCAGTGGGGGGCAGGACACAATTCTAATAAGAGAGACATTACCTAACAAATGCAATCAGTATAACCTAATTCTTTGTACCCTCAATGAATCCCAAACAATTAAAAAAAAAAACTGAGCAGTGAGCACAGGTCACCTCAAAGGGGAATTCCTGGACTAGACACTGACCCCTGCCCTGTGCTGCCTAAGGTCAGCTGAGGGGGGCCTGAAGGAGTGGGAAAAGGTCTCAGAACTTCCAAGGGAAGCAGCCCTTTTCTGTCCCGAAGGGTAAAAGCTATTCAAGCTCTTCAGTTTTGACCTGCTCATTGTCCTGCTCCAATACTCACCATGGATCCCTAGTGCCCAGGGCAATATCTAGTGGTATTCTGACCTTAGCCTCCTTTCCACTGAGTCTCTGCTCAAGGACAGGGACTCTGCAGTCTTTAGCAACAAGGACATGCTGTCAGAAGATTCAGCCTTGTCTTTGAGACCATGGCTCAGGGCTCCCTTTACCCCAAAGGGCTGTGTAAGCAAAGAGAGGTCTAGGGGGAATCTGGCAACTTCCTGCTAGAGCCATGAAGGATAGGCCAGAAATGAAGAGGAAGGGAGGACACAGCACGCAGGTGGGGGAACCATGAGACTGAAGGCTCCTCATGGCCAACAGAGGAGCTAGACCTTGCCTCAGTCAACTGTGGAAAGCCATGGAGGACTTCAGAGCAAAGTATAGTGGAGTCCAAAGTCAGATTTGGTGGGAAGAACCAAATGGCTATTGCAGAGAAGATGGTGCTGGGCATAGAGACAGGAGTCAGTGTGGATGGGAGCCTGGACTGCCCCCACCACCAACCAGCCTGAGCCTGCTAGATGGGTCCCACTTAAGAGGTGGGGGCCATTGGGCTAAGCAGATGGGATTGAGCCTTAGGATTTCCTGCCCTGGAGTGAGGGACCTTCTAATCAGGCAAGGATCACATAGGAATCCTGCCTGGAAGGTCCAGGGCTCAAACCCACCTGCCACCCCAACCACACTGCAGCCTCTACTCAGACAAACCCCTCCCACTAGACTCTGGAGCTGTCACTCAGCAAAGAGGTTCATCTGCCCAAATGATCTGATAAGACATCTGAGGGCGGAGACTTACAGGCTGCCTCCCCCTGGTCTGACATTCTGAGGCTTTGGAGTTAGCCCACCTAGGTGAGGCAGGAGACACAATCAGGATAGCCAATAATGGCAAATGACATAGGCAGATCCCAAAGAGCAAACAGGAAGGAGTCTCAGCCCTCCCTCCCCAGCCCACTCCAAGGATGCCATGGAGTATCCAGGGCCCCAGACAGAGCCTACAACTCCCAGAGAATTGGCTCTGGAGCAGAGCTGGGCAGGCGCCTCAGAACTCTGGCCCAGACCCAGGCATTCCTGCCCCACCTTTCCTGCTGCTGCTGCTTCAGGAGGGTGAGGCTGTTGGAGGGAGAGGCAGGAAGGGGAGGCCTCTGGATGCCCAGCTGTAGCCATATTCCCTCTCTGCTAGCCCCTGAAGCAGCCCTAGCCTCCTGGGACATAGGAGGCTCCAGGTCAGCTCAGGCAGATGAGAGCACAGCCAAGGGATTAGGGGTACAACAAGCATGGTCTGGGCCTACCTAACCCTTGCCTATGTCTCCAGAAACTGATGGAATGGAAAGACCCTTTGGGGTGACCTTTCTACTCAAAGCTAGCAGTCAGCTGGGGTCTGAGCTGAAAGGTGAAGACACCCAGGGTTTGCTGGGCAGATGGGGAGGAGGGTGAGGCCAGGATGGGAGGTACAGACCAAGTTAAAAAGATACTGCTATCAATAACTTGTTGGTGGGAGGCCTTGAACACCAACATTCCCCATCTTCACCTGGGGGTTAGATACCCCTATCCTAGCCAGTACCACATCCTAGATGGGGAGCTCTCTGCCCCAAGAGAGAACTTTTCCACCTCAGGCTTCCTCCCTCTCTTCCTCAATGCCCAGTCTGTCCGCAGGACCCATGGCCAACACCTTCGCTGCTCCCCTTGCAGAGGCTTCTGGTCCCCCCCACCCCAATCTGGTTGTTCAGCCCTGGCCATGCCTCAGCTTACCTACAGCCCTGCTCCTTTCCAAACCTCAGTCATCCTTCTAAAAGTCCCCAGATCAGAGCTTCTCAAACTATTTTAGTTGCTTCTCAAAAGGACAAATTGATGGAGGGGTGGTTCTCTGGGTGTGAGTACCTGCTTCTCGGATTCCCCACCCAACTCCCCAAAGCAGGCTGGGACCACTGGGGTGAGTCCTCTAGATCCAGCTTGGAAAACATTAACTCTGGGGGGCCCTTCCACATTCATGTCCCCAAAGAATCTCTAAGTCTGGTAAACTATGTCACTTTGTCCAAAGGAAAGAGCAGAAGTTAAGTATGGATGGCGAGGTTGTGGGTGGGGGAAGGGTAGAGCCCAGCCTGGGAGTTTGGTCTGGTGGCCTCAGGGGCCCTGCTCCCCAGGCTAGAAAGTTTTGGGCTTCATCCTGGAAGTGATGAAGAGAGTATAAGGGCCAGTGTGAGGCCAGGCATGAAAGTTCAAGAGTGTGCGTGAGTGTGCACATTTGCTGGGAAGGAGGAGGAGGTGCTGAACCTTACATGAATACTCTCCTCCCCACTCCCATCCCACTTCCCTCAGTTCAAGGTCATGGCTTTCTCACCCTCTCCCTCCTATTCAAGGGTTCCTTAGTGGCAAGCTGCACACAACTGTACAGATGGGGAAACAGAACAGGGAAGGATGGGGGTACCCAGAGTCACTACTTCTGGAGCATGTGCAGGGCTCAGACCCAGGCGTCTGGCTCCCAGCCCCACCAGGCTCACCTGAGTTAGGTGGCTCAGAGAGGCTAGGCAACTCACCTGAGACACAGAGTGAGTTCCTGGCAGGGCCCAGCCCCTTAGCGCTCCCCAGGCAGCCCCAATGCTCACCATGGGTGGGGTAGGGTGAGGACAGAACTGACCAGTCTTGGCATGCTCAGGTGAGACAGCTTACTGTCCCTGTTGTGATCCAACCAGTAGCCAGACCTGCTCTCTCCTCTGCATTCCTAGTCTCTGTCCACACTAACTCCCTCCAGGCAGGGTTACTGGGGCCTCTCCTACCCTCTCCCAGGACTGGCCCCTCAGCCGCTCCCTGTCATGGAACTCACTTTGGTATTTCCTGGTCTGGACAGGCAGGCAAGGAAGTTCTGCTTGCTGTGAAGGCTTTTTCCTGGGCTTCCCTGGAGACCTCTGTAATCAACTGAGCATGTCTGGTGGTGGACAGTGGAGAGAGGGACTGCCTAAAGGAGGGGAGGCTGAACTATCACACCTGACCCCTCAGGCTCCTCCTCCCAGCACCCTTCCTCTGCTCCTCCACGTATCTAAGCTTCTCCTTCTAAACGTCCCCACCCTCTCTCCAGTCATACTTATGTCCCAGCTTCCCTTTCTCTCCCTGATCGGGCACATTCAACCACTGGAGTTTCCCAAAGACTCGATCCAGGTCCAGCCTCTAGGCATTTGCCTGCGCCCTTCCCAAGCGGGCAACGTTACCTTCTTGGCTTCCCACTCGGCCCTTCCGCCTTGACCAGCTGGAGTCACCTCCTCCTGGCAGTCTCTCGGGCGAGGTGAGGCCCTGTGGCCGTCGCACCGCGGCTCAGGCCAGGCTCCTAAGCACTGCCATCATGTCCTGGGTGCTGTCCCTGAGCTTCCCCTAAACTCAAGCCAGGTGACAGGGAACAGGAAGAATGTCGCTGTGAAACCCCCTGGGTCCGGGGGCGGGGGGGTCTTCCCACAAACTCGGACGGCCCGAGAGCCACCAGGGACCCAAGAGTGGTGGAGGGACCGCGACGCGGCAGCCGGAGGGATTGCGGAGCCAGGAGTTCCCCCTGGACCAGGAGAGCGTGGAGCGCAGGGCTCCGCCCACAGACGCGCGGCCTCTGTCGCGTCCTTACCTGTGCGGTGCGCTTCCCCCGCCGGGAGTGCCCTTGCCGCTTGTCACTCGCCTCAGCCCCAAACTGCCCCCCGCCGGCGCCTCGCCCGCCCCGCCCTGTCCCGGCGCCCCGCCTCGGGGTGTTGCTCACGGGTGGGGGAACCCAGGAGCCCGCCTCGGAGGGGGCGGTGCGCGTCGTCCTTCTGCCCCGCCGCCCGAGATCTCCCTCTGGCGTCTCAGGGCTCCCAAGGCTCCTGAGGCTCAGCTCCCCACGCAGACAGCGAAGATGAGGCTCAGCCCCTCCGCCCTACCCTCACTCCCACGCTCACACCCAGGCTCGCTTCTCCCTCCTGCCTTCCCCCGCGAGGCTAGGGGAGGCCGGGCCGAGTCCTGGAGACGGCCTCTGGTTCTCATCCTGGCCCATGCTAGTCGCTTCCAACGCTCTGCAGCCCCATGACCATGACCTACCCCATCCGTTCTAAGTCACAGAGGCCGCCCCAAGCGGAGCGCTGGGTGGGTTTGTGAATCGGAAGTGTAAACTGAGGTGGCCCTGCGGCCCCCACCCCCACCCCCCCGGGTTGGCCGGCCACAGTCTGCTGCGTGACCTTGAGAAAGTCCCCTACCCTCAGAGCATGAAGCCAGACAGCGGTCTTCGGTGCCAAGGCCTGTGACCTTGGCAAGAGTGGCTGATGGCCAGTCCCAGACTGACCACGGGAGGGGGAGGGACCATACTTCAAACTTGTAACAAACAAGCCATGTCACTCATCGCACTTGTCTCCAGGGACCGACCAACCTCACTGATTGCTTCTGCCGGTTTCCTGAGAACACTGAAGAGGCCTGGGGTCCAGAGGCAGGCTGTGGAAGAGCAGAAAGGGAGTCCCAGCAGCTGCCGCTCTCAGGTCTGAAGCAGTGGGAAGCATCCCCTGACCAACAGGCCATCTCGTTAGCCTGGAGAGGGTCCCAGCAGAGGAAATAGGGGCCTGAGACCAGCCAGCTTCAACCCGGCACGACCTGCGTTGTCTGTCACCAGGTGGCAGCTTGAAGTCTGTCATGCTGCCTCCTACCTCCAGGTTTGGAGGGTTTTCAGCTCTGCACCCCTCCCCTGGGTGATCACAGGTCCCCAGGTGACCTCACCCTCTCTCCCCACATTGGTCTCCCACATTTTCCTTCGGAAGAACCCTACCCCTACCTCTCTCTCTGTCCCTCCCCACACTGCCAAGGCCCCTGTCCTAGCTGTGGCTCCCTTTTCAGTATTGCTTTCTTGCCCCCTCCTGCACCCACTGCAGCCTGAAGGCTCCTATCCCCTGAAGGCCTTATTCCTCTGGCCCCTGCCTACCAAAGGTATTGCTGGGGGTGGGAAGTGAGGGCCTGTCTCAGAGGAGGCAGGACTTGGTGTCAGTCCTAGCTCCCAAGATCTCCGTCTGGCCCTTTGGGAGAGCATCCCCACACTCTGCACCCTCAGGCTCTAGACTACAACATAGATGGCCTGTGTGACTGTATGCTGGGCCATGTGGTCTCCCTGGGTCTACAGCAGGCAGCCAGAGCCACTGCCCCAGCAGCTAGAATGGAACTGAGCCTTCATGTTCTAAACAGGCCCTCCAGGATCTTTTCTGTGAGGATCCCACATGCCTGCAGGGCAGTGGAAGTCAACAGAACATTCTGGAAAGAGGCCCAGTGTGAGCCTTGTGCCACCTTCTTCTTGCTGTGTATGTGTGGGCAATGTATGACCTCTCTGCGCCTTAGTGTTCCTGCTGGTGGATGGTCTTACCTACACTTCCTCCACAAGTCTGAGATTCTGGGAGGAGGGGCATTGGTGGGTTTGAGGAGCTCCTTCACAAATGAGCAGGGTTTTAGCAGGGGGATCTATGGGTCCCTGAGAACATGGGTGTGGGCAGCCAGGGTCCCTGAGGCTTGGGAGGGAAGGCAAGGGCTGGAGAGTGGCCATGGCCTCATGAAGAGTTCATGACCTCACCACTTGTGACAAATGGGGGGCAGGCAGGCAGGGCCCTGAGCAGGACACATCTGAACTTGTGCCAGGTGTCTCTGGACCTCAGTTTCAACATCTGTGCATGTAGCTGAGGGGAGGACAGTGCTGCCTGACTGTGGCAGGAAGGGAAGGGCTCCCTCTGCTTCCTCCTCAGAGCCCAGACCTCCTGTTCAGCCGCATCTAGGGAATTAGACAACTGACTGAGCCCTGGGCGCAGGACCAGTTTTCCCACACTCTCTGGGAGACCTCGCAGGATCACAAGCCCAGTTTTACTATCTGCCAAATGGAGCAAGACCTGCCCAGCCTCTATTCCAAGTCGTTGTGGCAGGGGCTGGCTCTGCACCTGCCATCAGTCTCCTGAAACACAGTCAAGGGCCCCTTCCCAGTCCTACCACAGTTGTGTACATACCCCCTGCACCACTCCACTCCCGCCACAGTCCATAGTCAGGGGATGTGGTGTGTGTATACACACCTGGGCCATATGGACCCATCTCCTATTGGACCCTTTGGCAGAGCTTCCATGTTGCACAAGTCTATTGCTGCTCCTGTTCATGGGCACATATGTACCTATCATGTGCCTGTCAACAAGGATACAGACTTACATACTGCTCCAGACTTACAGACACTCATATATGTCAATGGTGCCTGTGTTTCTGGAGACACTAAGACTCACACCGAGACACACACAAAGCCACGTACAGAATGCACATGCACTCCACTTACACCACTGCTTTAGTACACAAGCACATACTTATGCATGGAGCTATTCTGGGCAGGGCCTGGGGCCAAGAAGATCAGGGACAGCCAGTTCCCAGCAGGCCCTAGCCTGTCCAACTCCCACCCCACTGCAAGCTGAGGCCCTAATGCCCTGGCTCCCAGCCTAACTTTTAGACTAGTGATCCATACTCCTTACCTTCAGCTTTCCCAGAGCTAAACCTTGCATCTTAGGCTTTCAAGCTCTAAGAGAGAGCTGTCCATGGGGTTCCCCTGGCTACTGCCCACTGCCTTGCCCATAACTTCTAATCTAGAGGCCCTGGACTGGGTCTAGTCCCTGCAGGAAAACCACACAGGAGCTAAAAATAGCACAGGAGGGACAAGCAGGGACAGCATTCATGCCACCAGGCATGGAGGGGACACTATTGTCCAGGAAGCTAGAGGGCCTGCAGGTCTTGAGCTGCCCACCACAGACCTGTCCCTCCTTCATGGAGCTGTGAGACTCTGGAAGGAGTGATGTGGCCAACTACAGGTGGGGTGCAGGTGGATGTAGAGGCCACCTAAGAAGCAAAAACAGTATTAGACAGAGGGCAGTGCTCTGGGTTAGAGGCAGAGTGCTGAGTTGGAAGCCCCAGTTCCTGTGTGGTATTAGGCAATGCACTACCCCTCTCAGGGCTTCAATTCCTCAGGAGTAAACAGGGGAGAGGAAGAATCACACCAAACAGCATAAACACCCTCAAAGATGGAGAAGACTTGAGCTTTCAGGATGTTCATCTCAACAACATGCTGTTTAATATTGGAGAAGTGGAAACATCCCAAGTTGTCAACAACAGGGCACTGATTGAATGTGCTATTGTTAGGTTTTTATCTAGTTTAACATTACACAGACTTTAATGATAATGACAGCAATAATCATCACAACTAGCATTAATGAAGGCTTGCAATGTGCAGGTTCATGACACTGTGCTATTTGACAGATGGGGGAGTAAAGCTCAGAGAGGTTAAATAGCCTGCCTGAGGGTTCACAGCTGTCAATACGATCATGTCCCAGAAGACTTAGTGCAGTTTGAAGCTTTACTAACTTCACAAGTTATGAAGAATAAAGCTACAGATTTATAAGAAACATAATTTTGAAGCTTAATTATCTAAATGTTCTTTATGCTAGTTTAGTTTTATGAATTTTGGATGACTTAATTTTTTTTTCAGTCAATGTTTGCCATCTACCAATGGCAAAAAAAGAAATTTAAATAAACTTTCAAGAGGTGTTTCTTGCAAATATGTAGTTTTATACTGCTAAGGTTATTAAAGCTTAAAGCTGCACTAAGACTTTTGGGATGTCCTGTTAAGTCTGAGTTAGTTTGACTTTGAACCCTGTGTGGAAACATTTGACATTGGCGAGGAGAAGGGTGAATTTAGGGTCTTGTTTTGGGTAAAAAGCTCTGGATATAAAGGTATATGAGAAATGATATATGGTGAGATATCAGTTATGTTCAAGAGTCTGCAAAGTGGCAACCATGTAGAACAAAAGCCATCTCAGGGGATGATGGGGACATACCTGATGGTATTTTCTTTCAGATTTCTTCACTAGGCTTGTCCTACCTCTTGATGGATGGAAAAGACAATGAACTTTACAGGAAATAATGATACCCATCTCCTGGGCCTAGCTAAGAATGGGAGCCTTGTGAGCAGCCCTGAGAGCCAGCACCCCCACATTCATTAGTTCCTGTAATCCCCACACCAGATTTTGATGAGAGGCTTCCCTTCCCCATTTTATAGATGAAGAAACAGACAGAGAGGAGTAGAAGTTTGCCCCTGGCAGGCTTACTAATCTCCATCCTGTCTGGCCTCTCTGACCCCCATGTCCTGAGGGTGACCTCCCTGGCTGGTCAATGTGGCTTTCCCTAGCCTGGCCTATGACTGATGGCATGAGGAAGTGGTGGGCAGAGAGAAACAGCAAGTGATTTAGACTTTAGTGGAGTATCTGTTTGCCTGGCCAGGGCATGCCTGGGGAAGACAGGTTGGCCCAACCCACTCAGTCCCCAGACATTGCTGCCCATTGTTAAGGGTCTCTTCAGTGAGTCCTCTGAAGAGGGGACTGCTGCCATCTATCCTTTGCCAGCAACTGTCCCATTTTCCTGCTTGTCCTGTCATCTCCAAGCCCTGATGCTTGCAGGTGTCCACAGCTGGCCCTCTGCTCCCTGCTGCAGCCTGCCTTGTCCATCTATGGAGCCCTACAAGGTTCCTGACCCCCTGGGTCCCCAGTTCTGAGAGCAGGCTTTGCCAAGGAGAACCAGGCCACCCTGGTTCTCAGAGGAGGCCTCAGCAGGTCTCCTCTGATATTCTTGCTGATGAAGTGTGTGCAGGGGTCCAACACTTGAGCTGCTTCCCCTAGCACTCAGCAGGTAAGAGATAAATAATATTAATCATAATAATGAAAGGAAGGAAAAAGAGAGAAGTCTCCCCATTTCAGGCCTCCCACTCCTGTTCCCAAGTGTTCAACTCCTCCCCCAAGGCTCCACAGCTCCCCAGAACTTCCCTCTATCCCTGGGTTGTCAAGGCTCAACTTGGGGTCAGAACCAGAGTGCAGTGGGGACCGACTTTACTATGAGGTTGGGGTCTTAGCATAGACTGAAGCCAGAGTCAGGACTCAGGCTGGGACAGAGGTTGGGGTAACCAGGGACAGAAAATGGTCCTCTAGCCCTTCCAGGAGTGGCTCATCCTCTCCTGTAGGGCAGAAAATGCTGGCTCCTTCAGGAACCTTCTGTAGCACTGGCAGCTGGTGCCTCTAACCATACCATACTCTGCTCCCCATCCCCCTCTCCAGCGCTGGTGTCCAGGGTGACCAAAGCCACTTCTGGGCAGGAAGCCAGGCCAGAAAGGCCAGGACATCCCTGAGCGCCTGTCACCATGGCAACCTGCCCACAATGCCCCCCCCATACCTAAGTCCAGTATATTTCAAAAATTCAGTACGTCAGAATGGGAAGGGCCTTCTAGATCAGCAGATTCCAGCCCCTCCCTTTGTTCTAGCTGGAGAAACTGAGTCCTGAATTGGAAAGAGAAGGGGACCTGCTGATTAAGGACCCAACCCCAAACTGTCCTCCCTCCTATTCTCCCCCACCTCAGTATCCCTGGGATGGGAGATGAGGAGGCTGGAGTCCGATTTCTCTCGGGAGGGGGCAGGCCCTGCCCCCACAGTGTTGGGGGCGGGCGGCCCAGGAACCTGACACTCACCATGAATAAAAGATGCCCTCGCATCTGCCGGCTACTGACGTCTAGAGCTCACCACCAAGCTCACCACTGCCACAGAGCGCTGGCTGGCCAGGGGGCCTCACCGGGCAGCCCGCCCCGCTGAGCCATCACAGGGCTCACGAAAGCAGACGCCGCGGGTGGAAGATGGCAGGGCTGCAGCGAGGTGGAGGACCCCTCTGGGCGCTGGGCGGCACCACGCTGGGGGTCTGCCTTACCAGGGTCGCTGGGCAGCTGGTGGAGGTGAGGCTGCTTGGAGGGCGTGGGGGTGGCTATCACCAAGGCAGAAGGTTGGAGGTGCACCTTTCTGATCTGGAGCTGGCATTATCCCTTACTCTTCCTCTAGACCCAATCTAGTGGAGCAACACAGCCTTGCCCCAAGTGCTGCCAGGCTGTGAGGGAAACTCAGCCCCCATTCTTAGGATCCCTGGTCTGGGGAAAGAGCACTGCCCCTGTTTTCTGGAACATTAGTCTGATAGGAGAATCTCAGCCTGATCTTAGGGATTCCCAATGTGACTGGGGACACAGTCCTGCCCAGACTGATGGGGGACATTCAGCCACTATCCTCTAGTCTTTTGTCCCATTGTAGGAGATGGGGGGTGGGGGGGGTGCACAGCCCTTGGTTTCCTTGACCTCTAGTTTGATGGAAGAGATATAGACCCTGAACTTAGGGCTTTCTGGAGGAAACAGCCTCTGCCTTCAAGAATCCTCCAGCGATCTAATGGGGGAGAAATAGCCTTGGGAAGGAGGGGAGGACACTCCAAGGGTGGGAGCAGCAAGATGAAGAGACCCTTATGGAGCAGCTATGTGGAGAATGGCTCCAGAAGGGGAAGGGTGGGTGGGGCAAGACCCAGGGACTTGGGGGGGGGGTCTGATTTGATCCTTGTAACAGGGAGCTATAGAAGATTTCTAAGCAGGGGTGACTCATGATGAGCTCTGGTTTTGAAGAAGGAGCTGCCATGATAGCCCAGAAAGAGGTGAAGAGGATGGCTGGGGTGGTAGGGAAGGATCTGGCTGGGCCAGGAAAGGCTGGGAAGGGAAGAGCTGAGCAAAGAGGGAGGAATGGACCAGACCTGGAATTCTGGAATGTGAGGCCAGAGGGAGAAGGCTAGGGCTAGAGCTAGGGAGAAGTGGGGGATGGAGCCTGTGTAGGCAGGGGCAGAGTGGAGAGAGCAGGAAACAGAATGCAGCAGGGACACCTAAGGGATAGTGCTTAGAGGACAGGGTGGGATAGGCAAGACAGAGCCAGAGAGGATATGGGGGACACAGTCCTAAACTAAAGGGTCTAAAGGGAATGGAGGACAGAGCCCTGCACCCCAGTGTAGCCTGTCCCTGATGCTGCTGTGATCAGTAGGCTGGACTAGAGTCAGGTGTCAGCTCCACTGTCCCTGTAAGGGGAGCCAGGGTGGCTCAAGGCCCATGGGGTGTATTTGGACCCCTTACTGGCTGCCCTGAGGCCTCAGATGCAGAAATTGAGCTGGCCTGGGTACAGGCAGAAGGTTGGGTGTGGGGGTCAAGTCAGTTGAGCCAAGGATTCTTCACCCCCACCCCCAGGAACCCATCTTCTCCCAGATCATCAATGGAAATTGTATTAAAGTCCATATGCCTGACATCTGCCTACAGCCTAAGCAAGGCCCTAGCCCTTCAGGAAACCCTGGAGACATGAGCAGGGCTAGGGTCCAGGTCACCACCCAACCCAGCTCTGCAGGCATCACAATTACCCTCTGAAGGAGGTGGGGACCACCAAGCTTCAGAATTCGGGCCCCCAGGAGGGCCCACCAGAGGAAATGGCTATTACCTGCTATCGTCTACCCAAGACCCCTGTCAGGAATAAGAGTAGGCCCAGCTCCATCCACATCAAGTCTGGAGCAAGAGTGTGTAAGGAAGTGAGCATTCAGTGGGCTGGGCTCAGAATCTGAGGACTTTACTTTGGCCCTCAAGTCTCCCAGGGCCAATGCACCCTAATCCCAGGGATTCCCTTAGAACTAGGGAATTCTGCCACTGCCAGGCCCTGACCCTAACGCCATACATGTGCCTGACCACACACACATGTGTTCCAACTACACTGTGCCAAACTCCGTGTGTTCCCCAACCCCTGTACATGTGTCCCATCCCACACACACATCCAGGGGACATATTTCATTTTTCCTATCAGGTTGGGTAGAAAGAGCTGCTGAGCAACTCCTGCACTTACCCCACTCCAGTTGCAGACAGAGAAACTGAGGTCCAGAAGGAAGAAGTCTCCCACCCTAGTTCTCCCTGGTGAGGAGAAAAGAGCCAGGGAGATGTACCAATCCCAGGCCCACAGATCCTCTGGTTACCTGGGGCAGTTGGCTGATCCACTCTGAGTGTCTCCAACCCACATTGAATGTTCATTAGATGCAGGAGCACCTGGCTCATGATAGATGCCCAATCCATGTGTATGGACTGAGGAGGAGAATGGGTGGACAGCTGAGCTATAGGTTGCCTCTCCTTCCCAGAGAGCCAGGAGGGACTCAAAGTGCCTGTCCTTATTTGGTTAATTAAGGGACAACATCTTTCACAGATGCCCCAGAATCCTCTCTCCCTCTGAGCACTAGCCCCGTCCCTACTTCTTAGACATAACTTAATGAAAGAGGCTGGAAGAAACACGACCTTCAAAAAAGGTCTCAAATGACCCCCACTGGATATTCACTGAGTGCACCCTGGTCACAGACAGGTCTTCTCAGATTCCATAGGGCAAGGCCCTCTCCCCTAAATATCCAGGACAGGGCCATATCTCCTCAGACTAGGACAGTGCTGTGTCCCCTAGACACTCAGGGTAGGGCTATATTCTCTAGACACAGGACAGGACCACATCCTGTAGACATCCAGAGCAGAGCCATGGCCCCTCAGACCTAGGGCAGCGCGTGTGCCCTAAACCCTGAGGAAAAGCCATGTCCTCTATACACTGGGGCAGGATCCTTCAGTCCCTCAGGGCAGGGTAAATATTGGCTGGGAAAGAGGGAGGTGGCTGGTTGTGGTCCATTCATGCTTGTGGCAACAACACTTACACCTTTAGGCCTCCAGGTGGCGCCACTGCATCGCAGACATTTATCTAGTCCAGTCCTGGACTGCACTAGCCTAGTCTCCCAGCAGAAGGTCTGTCCAGGTGACAGAGCTATGGGCCCCTGACTCCTAGCTCCACTCCCACCTGGCACTGGGGAGGCAGGAGAGCCGAATACAGTCTACCAGCACAGTACAGGCCTTCCTTTGTCTCTGGCCTTGGTCCTGAGGCCTCACCTGCCTGTGTGGGTCCTAGGACAGGAGTGGGAGGAGGTATCCAATGGGACCTTGAACCTGGCTGGACAGGCCATCCACATTTCTTCTCCAGGCCTTTGTTTCCCTAAGCATCAACCACCCTCCCACTTCAAGTCCCTGGGTCTGTGATCTGAGGCTCTGCCCAGTTCCATTCCAAATCTGGAACTTCCCAAGATCTAAGGTGTTGGTAGTAAATGTCTAAGACAAATTTTAAGAAATTCTGAAATGCTTGGGCTGAGCCCTTGCTGAAAGCTGGGCCTCTCTTGGCCCTGTCCCAACTTGCTGGCCTCTGCCTGGCTCACTCCCCTCTCTCCTGACCCACAGCCCAGCACGGCCCCGCCTAAGCCCAAGCCGCCCCCGCTGACCAAGGAGACGGTGGTGTTCTGGGACATGCGCCTGTGGCACGTGGTGGGCATCTTTTCGCTCTTCGTGTTGTCCATCAGTGAGTAGCTGCTCCCTGCTCACTCTGCCACACTGCAGTGAGAGCACAGCACCCCCCGGAGCCTCCTGCCCCCCACACTCCTGCCAGCACCATTCCTGTAGGCTCAGAACAGCAATTCCGGGCAGTGCAGGCAGGCCAGGTGCCCACAGGAAGCCTGCCATGGTTTCTGGCACCTCCTGATCCACATAAAGTCCCTAAGGAGGGTTGACAGGCCAGTGGTGACCTTAAGTATTCTGCTGGACCCTGGGAGGCAGCCACATGGCAATTATGATAATTACAGGGAACTCTACTGAATCAGGGCAAGGACAGAGATATGTCATTTTTCCCTATGGTTGGCCTCCTGAAGCTTTTCCTGCAATTTGGTCAGCTTAAAGGCCCAACACCCAGGGGCCCCAGCAAGGCCACTCTCCACCAGGGGCTCCCCAGCCACCAAGTAGATGTGGCTCCCAGGCTTTGAAGCCTGCCTTGTCAGATGCCATCTTCCAAAAATGACTCAACGTGTCTCAATTAAGAGGAGAACCATTCCTCTCATGTGATCTGGGAGCTTCTTAATGCAAAGTTGGAACAGAAACAGGCTTAGCCTGCTCCCCTTAGCTCACCTCCTAGAATGTGGTCTGGAGTTGGGGAAGGGGGCAGAAAGTCACAAGAAAAGCAGTCATATCAGGGAGGCTGCCATGGCACAAAGCCGTATGACAGAGGTTCCCACCAGGCACAGGCATGAATGGGGGGATATGGACAGTAAAAGGAGCAGCAGCTCACTCTTCGGCAAAGGCATTATAGAAGAGGGTCCCTAAGCTGCAGACTGGTGGGAAGATGGGTGGGGTTTTGCCAGGTGGGAAGGCTGGAAAGGCATTCCTGGCAGAGAGGATGGTGTGAGCAGAGGCTGGAAGAAACACGGCCTTCAAAAAAGGTCTCAAATGACCCCCACTGGATATTCACTGAGTGCACCCTGGGCAGGGAGACTAAAGCTGCACTTACCAGTAAGTTCTAGCTGAAACTGTCCCAGGATGAGGTCCTCTGGAGGGATGGGTGGCCCACAGAGGGCCCATCCAGATGTGAGGGGTTCCAAGGAAGACATGACATCTGATTTGCATGTGCTTCTTGTGGCACCAGAAGTGCCTTCCCAAGAAAGTATCCCCCCTGCACACCCTGCCCTCATCTGATGAAGAGGTTGTCCTTTGTGCCCAGCTGAGGCTAAGAACCAGTCAGGCATCTTAGTGGAGACCCCACAGAGAGACAGATGTGCCCACAACCTCAGCCCAGGTGTCTAGAGAGGGAGACAACCCACAGCCCCAAGAGGCAGGTATGGAGAGTCACCTGCCATACAGAAGCCACAGGAGTAGTCTAGGGTGCAAGGCTAGGGAGCAGCTCTGGGGCACCCCAGGGAACAAGGGCAAGGGCACTTAGGGGGCCTTAAGACACATAACACCTCTCTCAGGCTCTGCTCAGCCCCCAAAGGTGGAGGTCCCTGGGACCACACAAGAAAGGTGCACAGTATCAGACCCAGAGGCACCTGGACGTCACCCAGAGAGACCATCCTCTAACCCCATTTCCTAGAAGGGGTAATGAATAGTCCCAAAGGCCTCTAAACCTCAGCATTTGTTACTTTCCCCACAGCACTAGGCATTGAGAATAACATCTCCTGGGGAGGAAACATCTTTCCCACTTCCCAGTCTGTTTGGGCTTAGGCTGTTAGTGGAGCATCACCCTCAGAACCCTGCAGAGAAAAGGACTGGAGCTAGATGGGGTACCTCTGATGTTATTGGGTACTTATATCTAAAGCCTTTACTTGGGCCCTGGAACTCAATCCAAATCACTTTGTTTCTCCCCTTCTTTTTTTTTTTTCTTTTCTTTTTTTTATTGAACGGTAACTATGTACATTAATGCACTTCTGGGGTACAGTGTGGGGTTTTCACATGCAATCTGAAATACTTCCATCAACTGGTCAACACAGCCTTCATGTCATTTTCTCAGTTATTGCTTTAAAACATTCACATTCTACTCTTAGAAAGATTCACCTGTACCCCTATAAGGTAAACCTCAGAAGTAATCCCTCCAAACTCCCTCCCTCCACCCATTACCCCCTCCCTTCTCCCACCCCCCTCCCCATATTGTTTCTCCCCTTCTTTGAAGAAAAGCAACCAGGCCAGGCTGGGTGGGGCAGGCCTGGAGTGAGGGGCAGTGTTTGAGCCCTGCTCTGGCTCCCAGTAGCTGCCTACTGAGATCCCTGTGAAGCTCCAGCTTCCTAGGGCCTGGGACCCACCTACATGGAGCCTGTAGGGCATGATCCTAAGGAGGTACCTAGTGAGGTAACTAGAAGTGGCTCAAACCTTGGGTCTCAGGTACACGCATGGGTCTGGAGAAGCCCAGGACCCAGCTCTTTGGATTAGAAAGGCCTGCTGTCTGCTCAGGTCTACCCACAGAGAGGTGTACAGTCAGATTCACTGCTGGGCCCTCATGCAACAACCCTCACCCTCAATGTGTGTGTTTGGATGTTTTTGGCTCCCCAGTCTATCCACGCAGGAGTCCAGTCCTATTCCTAGGGTTTTGAGACCATCCCATTCATCCAGCCATTATTTTTCTTTTCATTTGGTAAGTCTGGGCAAGACTCAGTGGAACCACAATGTTTGCCTGAAGGGATATTGCCTTGGTTGCATAAAATAATCCCAGAGGGTACTCTAGCCCAGGCTACATAGATCTGATCCATCTTCCCCAAAATAGGCCTGGCTTGTCTTGCTTGGGCCCTCCTGCCCCCAGGAGTCTGCCAGGAAGTTATGTCTGCTCATCTGATTTATAATAGGAACTAGCCTCATCCCCTCCCCTGGGACTAGGGCCAAGGTGGCCAGACTGTGGGGGCCTTAGAAAAATAAACTAAGTCCAGCCAGGTCCTAGCAGCCCTAACCTGCCCTGCCCATCACTAGATGGGCCAGCTCCATGTCCTGTGCAGCTGGGCTCCACTGGAAAAACACTTCTGAAATAACTCTGTCTGAGATAAACACTCCAGGGCTGGGTTTGTGCCCTCTCACCAGCACCCTCCCCAGCCCAGAGGAGGAGCCCACACTTGTCCACAGGGAGGCCAGGGAGGACACATCCATGAACTTTGAACTCTGAGGCAGCTCTACTCCTACTTTTGGGTTACACCAGAGGCAACACAGAAGCCTGGGTTGAACATGAGCACCAGGGTGGGATGACCTCTACAGAGCTTGAATCACAATGCAGCCAGCTGCATTACCCCTTAGCAACTCTCAGTCTAGTCAAAAAGGCTCTCAGGACCAGGACCTACCATATAACTTACAGAGCCAATGTAAAATTCATGGGACCCTGCCCAACTGCCCCAAGTCAGGCCACCCCAGGAAAGCCACTGGAGCAGCCCCAGGGTTCAGAGTGGTTTTGTCAAGATGCTGAGCCTCCTGAAGTCATACCCCACCCAAACCTGCTCTGTCCTCCCTACAGTTATCACCCTGTGTTGTGTCTTCAACTGCCGTGTGCCACGGACCCGAAAGGAGATTGAAGCCCGGTACCTACAGCGAAAGGCAGCCAAGATGTACACAGACAAGCTAGAGACCGTGCCCCCCCTCAATGAGCTCACAGAAATCCCTGGAGGTAAGCAGGCCCTGCCCACTCCCCCAACCCAGCAGCTGTCTGATCCTGCTAAGCCAGCCAGTTCCTTAGTCCTGCTGTGGCAACTCACCTGCTCCCCCTTCTTCCCCTCCACTATAATGGAGTGAGAACAGGTTCAGGAGGGGGCCCAAGTCCTGTCCAAGGATACCAGAGCACAGAAATCAGTCAGAGTGATGAAAGCAGAACAATGAGCCTATTCTCCAGTAGGAGAGGTCTGGAAGGAAGAAGTAAAGGGCAGGATATGGAAGCTTCTGGGGCCCACCCACTTGAGACCGCTGAGCCCCAGGAACTTGCCTCAACGCAACTACACAACCTCTTTCCCCTATCCCATAGAGAATAAGAAGAAAAAGAAGGACAGCGTGGACACAGTGGCCATCAAGGTAGAGGAAGATGAGAAGAATGCAGCCAAGAAGAAGAAAGGAGAGAAATGAGGGGAGCATCCTGGAGGTGGCCACTGGGGCTGCCAGGCCTTGGAGCTCAAGATCTGGCCAGGGTCCAGGCACCCTGGACTCTGAGTTTATATGCAGACCACAGAGGCTATAGTCAGAGCAGGGAAGGGGAGAAGTCTATGGCCACATCCTCACAGCCCATCAGGTGCAGGAACAAGACCACAGTGAGTGTCCTGCCTCCCAGCCTGGACTCCACTACCTTCACCCCATCCACATGGGCCCTTTCTCAGCAGAGGTGGCCTTGGGCCACTGTCCCTCTGCAGATGGAGAATGGCCGTACACTGTTCTCCCCACCCAGTTATACCTGCATCCTACCTTTTCTGCTAGGGGCATCAGTGGCTAGCTGGAAAAACAGGATGTGGGCTTCCCTTATGGCGGGGGATGGCCAAACTACATGGATTAGGGTATGAGGCTATACCCAGACTGGCCTGAGGAGGGTGAGAGGCTTGCTGGGGCAAGTTGTGATAACAGGAGGGACTTCAGTTAAGGCAGGTAGCAGCCCTAATGGTGAGGACACGCCTCCGAGCCTGGCAGGGGTTCTAGCCCAAGGAAGTGAGCAGAGGTGGCCCTGGGAACAGAACCCCCAGCCCTCAAAGAGCAAGATCAAGGCAATGAGATCCCCTCTTTCACACATTGTAATGAGGCTGAGGCTGCTGGGAGGCCCAGCCTGAGGTACAGGAGCTCAGGCTCAAACTGGGGGCTCTGGGGTAGGCCAGAGGGAGCAGGGAAGAAAGCTGGGGCCTGAGCCTCCTCTTGGAATATTTGAGAAGCCAAGGGTGACCTCGGGCTATTCTGGTGGCTCCTGAAGTGGGAGGTTTTATGGCTCCAGGGAATCAAGGCAGGGGGCACACCTAGCCTCCCACCAGCTGAATATAACAGCCCCCAGCAGCTTCTTCTACCATTTCCCATAAGGAGCTCCTAAAAGAAGCATCTCTGACCAGAAGACAAAGGCCCAGACACCACCTAGGGGAGGGAAGATGAGCAGAGGCACTGAACATCAGACTGAGGCCCTCAGGCCTGGGCCTGAAGACTAAGGACACACCAGAGGTTTCTGAGCCAGGGAAGCCTGCTGCAAAAACAGCCTGCAAGAGATTTATAAATAAAGCTGAGTTCCTTCTCAGACCAATATAAAACCGCCTCCTGAGATGACACCTCATGCAGCTCTCTCGTGGAGGGTGATAGGTGACTCAGAACAGGTGCTTCTCCACCTGAATTAGAATATGACTGAGGGAGAAATAGTGGCCAAGAGGCTGAGGGGCAGTTGCAGTCCCTCAACCCATCCAAGGCAGGCATCAGGACTGGAGAGAGGGGAAGAGCTGTCTGCTGTCTAGGTGCTGGGATGACAAGGCTGCTCTCAATGCTCCCCTACCAGACTCTATGGCTCTCAATAGGCCTTTGACTGTCTGAGCCCAGCGCTGGGGACACAGAAGAGTCAAACCTGGCACCTGATCTGGATCTGGATCATCACTGTGTAAGGAGGAGAGTGATCCAGGCTGACATAAGGAAGGAGCCTGACGTGAGGTCATAAGGGCAGAGAGGGAGAAATTACAGAAGTCCCTGCCAGGAAAGCAAAGTACTCGCCACCAGAAGAGAGCAGCTGGCTACTCTCTTCCCACACGAAGGGTGGACAAAAGTGATTCTACCAGGCGGGTCAGAACCCTCTGTGTACCCAGGCAGCAGAAATTCAGAGGGGCAGGAGCCACTCAAAGTCACACAGAAGGAAGTTGGTGAAGACTAAGGAAGTCCAGGCCTGGGCTCTATCTGCCTTCCTATGATTTGGGGCCTCTACCAGCCCTTTGTGGACAGACAAGCTGCTGATAGTAGAGTAATGTCTGATCCCAGTGGGCACCTGCCTGAGTCTCCAGGCAGGGGAGAGAGCTAGAAGGTCAAAGTTCACTATGATTCTAGCCCCTGATCAAGAAGAACCTGACTCCCACCAGTGAATCACAGAAAGAATACCCTTACCTTCCAGGCCAGCGAGAGTTACACTCTCACCCCAGCCTCTAACCTTTTCTTAGAAGCCCCAGTTTCAGCCTGGGGAGTATGTTCTAAGTCCTGCATCATCCGACCCCTTCACACTCCCTTCACCTTCTGCAGGAGCCACCTTGAACCTCTGGATGGAGGCAGATCCTAGAGGCTCTACACTTTTTGGCATAAACCGCCCACCCGCCTCTGGTTCACCTATCTCCCACTAGAGCAGGCCCAGGCAGTGAGGGGCCTCCAAGGCCCAGGAAGGAGGAGGCACACTGAGGAGGCACAGGAATCAGAAGTGTTTAATTGAGCAGCTGGTTTCTGCCCTGCAAGGCAGGGTTGTGACAGCTGCATGTGCAGCATGCTGGGCATAAGGGCAGGGGAACCTAGGAGAGGGAGGACACACCAGGGAGGGTACCCAGAGTGTCAGAGAGCAGCAAGGAGGCTAAGCGGGAGTGGAAGTACTATGAGCAGGGCCCTGGAAGGGGCCATCATGGCCAGGGGCTGCCCATTGAGCAGTTCCCAGATCCAGTGTTGGTAGGAAGGGATGTACGTGTAGACAGGTGGGGCCTTGTTCTCCTTGCAGCCTGCACCCCAGCTCACCACTCCCACTAGGTACCACGTGCCCTCCATAGAGCAGACCAAAGGCTCACCAGACACCTCCTGCAGGAAAGGTGGAATAAAAAGGGTCAGGGAGGCCAGGTGAGGCCGGAGGCAGATATAACCCAATCAGAGACAAGGAAGCTGCCCTCACACTAGGTCTTCCACGGCCCCCCAATGTCAACACAGATAAGAGGTGCTCTGGACCCAGGAGATCTCTCTTGAAAGGCTTTATCTCCCCTCTTTAGCACCCACCCTCCATCTCCCTCCACCCTCCTATCTCCAACCTTTATATCAACTCTTAAACCCCACCTCTCTCATCTCATTCTCCCCGTGCCCCTCCCCCATATCTGACCAGTACCCCTCAGGTTCTGTCTCTAAGTCGTCCCCCCCACATCCTTGCCAGGTACCCTTGGAGGTAAGTGAGCCAGGGGAGATGTCCTTACATAGCAGAAGTGTTCCCTGTTGACATCCTCTGCACAAATCATCCGGGAATTAATGATACGAATCATGACAGGGATTTTTGAAAACCTGTGGTAGAAGTCATCACAATCCTTGCTGTTCAGGATGTTGACTTCCTTCTCCTGAATGGTCCGGAACTGGGGCCATATGCCTGTGCAACAGGGCCCCATTCAGATGCCACTAGCCTCATCCCCACCCTCTCTCTGTTCTCTCCCACTTCCCCTGCCCCCTCTACTTGCCACACAGTGGCCATGGAGATCTCTTGTTGCACACCCCGCTTCTACCTGATACCCCTAGGGCCCTTGATACAGAGACCCCAGAGCAGGCTGCCCTCATGACCTGCTCATGCTGGACCTGCTCTGGCTTCCTGCAGAGCCAACCCACTGAGTGCTCTTAGCATCCCCTCCACTCCCACCTCAACATCTTGGCTTTTGCCATTCCTTCCATCCCAAATACCTACCAAGCCTCCCTCAGGTCTAAATCCCTCCTGTTCTTCAAGCCACCCCACACTCGGCTTTCCCAGACCCCCTCCATGGGTCCCAGGCACTGCTTCCTCTTCCCTTCCCTATCAGTGTGCCTCCGTCCCTGGCCTGAGTTCCTGGGAGATGGGAGACTTTGGGCTGTTCCCAGCTATTCCATGGCATGGACAGGTCATGCCAAGGTTAGGGCTAGGGTTAGGGCCACAGCATAGCTGGAAAGTCTCCCCCACCTCCTCCCATATGGGCTGAAGCCCTCGTGGGCTGTTTGGAGTAAGATGGTTCCTTGAAGCCACAAGGAAGAGCATTCTCTCTTATGGGTTAGGGGCTCCCTGAAGGGAGTGGGCATTCCTACAGTCTATCAGGAAATTAATCATTGGATGTGTTTGAGAGAATATGCCTGCCCTCTCCTAAATTGGGGTGACAAGGGATTGAGGCCCACTGAGGGGAGAAAGGAACCATGAATAGATCTCAAGTGACTCCCAACCTCCACAAGCAGACTGCCCCTAGTGAGCCATGAGGGGAATTCTTGGAAGCCTTCTCCAGACATGGAACCCTGCCCTCTTCACCTCGTATGCTCTAATGCAAGTTATGGATGCCCTGGGGCCATATGAGGACTGCAAGATATTACTCTGTGTCCTCTCAGCCTCCAAGGAAGTTCTGTTTACATGCCCTGGCCTTGCTGAGGATTCGAGCACAATCAGGGTCTTCTGCAGCCTGAGTGGCTGTAATGTGTTCACTACTGAAACCTTCAAAAGAAAGGAGACCTCAGAGGTAAGAGCATAACAGAAAAGTCCTGGAGGCAGTTGGCTCCCTGGGGAAGATGCTCAGAAGTATCTGTCCCTGACGGCACCCTGACCTGCACCCCAGTCCTCTTTCACACTACCCATCATAATCTGGGAAGGGTCTGACTCACCATCAACCTTGGGAAGTCCCCAGCCTGTCACAGTGCAGAGGGTATGCTCCTGCAGAATAAAGTCCAAGCCAGGCAGGCATATGGGCCAGATATACTTGTTGTATTGGAGCACCTGCTTAAGCTTGAGGAGGCCAATGTTGTTGGCCCGGCCAATCCAGGACCAGTACCGCTGGGCCTTGTACTTGCTGTTCACAATGACCTGGAGCACTGGGACGTCAGAAGTAGTCTGTGTCGTCTGATCAATCCACGGACTCCCTATCCTCACCGAATAGAAAACGTCACGCCTAGGGGAACCATGAGGGAGTCTGAAGTCAGCTCCCAGCACCCTGCCCCGGCCTCCAGCCCCTCCCTTCCTGCCCTCTGAACAAATCCAGGGAGGCCACCCACCTGCTTCCAGCACCCTGAGCCTTCTCAAAACAGACATGAACAGGGCCCTGAACATACTGTGTGGTCTGATCCTCACAACCTTTCATTTTATCAAGGGGGAAACTAAGGCTCAGAGCAGGGCTAAGTGACCCACTCAAAGCTGCATAGGTAGGAAGATGTAGAGCTGGGATGTGGACCCAGTTTGCTCTGGTTCCAAGTTCTGGACTCTTTCTGGCATCCCATGCCCCATGACCCTGGAGGAGCAAAGGCCCTGCAGAGGCAGCGATTGCCTGGCTCTCTCATTGCCATCCCTGGCCTTTCCCTTGGAGTCTCTTGTGTTGACCTTAGACCTGGAACATGCTTCTCCAAGGGTCAGTTCTCACAGCCAGCACAGACATCATCCTCATGGCATTCCCCTGGCCCTGGAGCATCAGCATACCCATTCTTTTGCCCCCACACAGACCAAACTCCTCTGTGAGCCTCTGTCTTCTCCCTATCAAGCTGAGAGGGACAGCCCATTCTCTCTCTGTCCCCAGTGCACAGGCCAAGGCCTGGCTCAAGGGAGTGTCAGAGACTGTTGATTGAAAAAAGGAGCAAACAAGGAAGTGGGACCAAAGCGGGTGAATGAAAGCACTAGAACCTTCCTCCTGAGGAGAGAAGGCGAGAAGCCAGACCAATGGCTTCTGAGCCTCCATTCCCTATTTGTGGAATGAATGCACAGGACTGAGGGGCCAGGTAAGGGGAGCACAGGGTGGAAATACTCAAAAGACTAGCTCCCAGAAAGGAATCTGTAGGATGCACCCCCACTTGCTTTGAGCCAGGGTGAAGTGGGGCTGGGAATGTGGGGTTCCATAGAGGGCACAGCTGCCTCTGCCACTGATAGATTACCTGGGTTGGGGGGGTGACTGGGCCTCTCTACCCACCCATCCCTGCGGGGCCCCAACTCACTGGTTCAGGCAGTGGGCCACAGTCAGCACCCACCGGGAAGCAATGAGGGTGCCTGCACACACATGTGTGCCATTGGCCCGCACACTGACCATCCATGGCCAACGCCGAGCCATAGCCTCTGGGTCCCTGAGGGTGAGGTCTTGCTCGTGGGAGAAGCCACAGGCTGAGGAGGAAAGCAAGAGGTTTTTGAGGAATGGGCCCTTCCCTATACCCCTACCTGTTTGTCCTGACCTCCCACCAGCCCACACCAATGCATTCTTGTTACCACAGAATGATGCTGTCCATGGGGTCTCCAGCCTCAGGAGGAACTCAGCACTGCCCAGGTATCTCTTTCCCAGTTCCCATAGCTTGGGCCCTAAAGCATCCCCAGATGACCAGCCCAGTGTACCACGTGCCCATTTGTCCTGCCTAGCAGTCACTCAGCTCCAGCCAGACCCTTCACAAACTCATCTGTGCTTCCATGTGGTTCCATCCTCACCATGCCCCCACCTTCAGCTAAGGCAGATGCCTCTCCCTCCTCTGAGAACCCCTCCTATGATTCACTGAGAGGAAAACAGATGGATCAACAAAAAAATGGGCCATATATATGAACAGGCATATTTCAAGGAGGAAACCCCAGCAGCAAATGACCACAGAAGCTGCCCAGCCCGGTCAGTCCTCAGGGAATGCTGACTCAAATCATAATGAGGTTCCATAGAGGGCACAGCTGCCTGGCAAAAACTGCTCTGTACACCTACCTGCCTGACAAAAACTAAATGTCTGTGACCCTGAGTGTTGGTAAGGATTAGCAACTCAGAATCCACTGCTGCTGGGAGTGCCACCTGCTGCAGCCACCTTGGAAAGCAGTTCCAAGTATGAATTGAAGATGCATACATTCAATATCCCAACAGTCCTGCCCCTAGATGTTTTCCAGTGGGTTGTAAAATCAACATAAATGGGCTATGACCAGAATTTTTAAAGACTAACATAGGAAAGAGAATGTCAGCATGCACAGCACAGAGTACCGCTAGGTCCTGTTTGTGAGACTATCTGTGGCAACTAAATGGCATGACCGGAGTCCCAGGCTAATTATTTCTGGTTTTTGTTTGTTTGTTTGTTCTGTTTTTTTGAGACAGAGTCTCACTATGTCACCCTTGGTAAAGTGCTGTGGCATCACAGCTCACAGTAACCTCAAACTTTTAGGCTTAAGTGATTCTCTTGCCTCAGCTTCCCCAGTAGCTGGGACTACGGGCACCTGCCACAATGCCCAACTATTTGTTGTTGTTGTTGTTGCAGTTGTCATTGTCATTTAGCAGACCCAGGCCAGGCTGGAACCACCAGCCTCGGTGTATGTGGCCAGTGCCCTAATCACTGAGCTATGGGCGCTGAGCCAGGATAAGTATTTCTTATGTGAGTCTCAATTAAACATGCTTGAACCCCACTGCTCAAGAGAACATCTTTACAGACAGTCCCCACAGAAACCACAGGTCCTAAAAGCTGTCATGAAGATTCCCAAGGTCTCTGGCTGGGAGCCTGGGTCAGGGGCAGGCCAGGTCAGGGCCTGGAGCCAGAGAAGACACCAGCCCCACGGCCAGCTCATGGAGGCAGGAACATTAGGTCTATCCAAGGCTCCTTTGACTTTCCTGCCTCCTCCCTCATCCCTGAAGGTCTGTTCCTCTAGGCTGGGCTGGGAACTGGCCTGCAGTTACAACTCAATAAAGAAAGAAAGTCTCTTTCACCACCACTCCTCTGCCCTTTCCTCTCCTATCCCTTACAGTGGGGAAAGATTCCCCAGACACCTTCCTTGCCCCATGGAGTCTGCCGTACTTACTATGGTATGAGTCGGGTTCAGAAACAGGTAATTGTGTCTGGACGGTGGTCATGGCTTCCTCTTGAGGAAGGTGAAGTGGGTCTGAAGGACAGTTGGCTTCGCTAGCGCAGGGGACCCCGGGGTCAGCTGTGGACAGGGTCCCAAGGGCTTGCTCTGAACCCAGGCAATCTGCGGAAGGACACAGCGTGGATCAGATGAGGCTGACAGGGATGAGTGAGGAAGTTAGGAGGGATGGAGGAGGGGGTGTGTGTGTGTGGCTTACCAGCTTGTAGAACCAACAACAACAGGAGGGTGCAGGCATGGGTGGCGGCAGACGTCCCTGGGTTCTGCCCACAGGCCTGTGTTCCGCACCAGGGCTCCATCCCAGGTTCAGCAGCAACTGCGCCTCTCAGTGGCGCCCCCGTGCGCGCTCCCTATGGCGCCCCCCATTGGCCCACGCAGTGGCTTCTGGTGAGGGGGAGAGTACTCCCCAGCCGACCTGTGTGGGCGCCCCCCAGTGGCCACCCTCCCGGGCGCTCCTGGTGTCTTGCTGCAAGGATGCCCCCTAGCCACTGGCCACCGTTTCACCTCCCAGGCAGCTGTCTGGCCTCCTTGTCCTCTTCTCCTCTCCGTTGGCTGAACCAAGCAGTTTCCTGGGGTCGCTTGACCTAACCTAACCTCCATCAGTTCCTGGACCTCCTCCCCGCTGCTGCCCAGTACCCTGCACTGGTTTATACTGTTGCCCTCCCGTAATGAGATGAAGACCAAAACCCAGACTCTCCAAGTGGCCCCGTCTTCCCTCCAGCCTGATAACGACAGTGGAATTTTGCCCCAGCACAGAAATTAAGCAGATTAACGTGCTTAATAAACATTAAATAATGATTTTTAAAGACTGCATCATCTTAAGCTACTATGTACCCCAAACCTCCACTCAGCAAATGTCCTTGCTTCACCAATCCATCTTCTTACCATTTAGGAAAGATGGCACAGGCAAAGGGGCCGTCCACCAAGAAAGAATGGCAGTTACCACTGGACCATTGTGGGAGCTGGAGATCACTTTGCATATTAGAATTTTGGAAACACTTTGATGGTTAAGTGACACAGGTGGATAATACATTTTAGAAGTAGGGTAGGGGAGACACTCAAGAGGTCCATTTCATGATCCAATCACAAAAAAAAGACAGCAAATCGCACCAATTTCTTTTGGTGGTCCAGAGGGGCAGTGAGGCTGGCTGCTCAGAACCTGAGACCTACCAAATCTGAAGGGCTCCCTCACTTCCTGGCACAGGATGCAGGACTCAGCCTGGCTAGCTTGGGCCAGCCTTCTTTACTCTCTGGAGTCTGAGAGAAGGCCCTGACAGCACCTCAGGAGCTCAGGGTATAGTCACTGCACACATTTACCATCCAAGCAGGCTCTCTGCCCTGTCTTCCACCACCCATCCCTGCCAGGGAAGGAAGAGTAACTGGTCAAGTTCTATAGATCCTCAGGGGAGGAGAGGAGGGGTCAGGAGACGCCTGTGGGTTCCAGAACACAGAACACAAATGTGGGTCTTAAATCTGGCCTTTGTAGGTTTCTTGGGAAGAAGCCAGCCCTTGCAGGAAGGCCTGAAGGAAAGTGTTCATCATATAGCCAGGGTAGGCCTGTAGGGCCCTGGGCGATTGCTGGAGTGCTGAAATAACTAAGCAGGGAATGTAAACCCACATTTAGCAGAAGAGGGAACTACAGCTCAGAAAAAGAACATTCTGCCAAGGTCACACAACAAGCACAAGACAGACCTGGGTTAAGGCTATCAAGGGCAGCTCAGTTTGAGAGGACAGTCAGTACTGGTGGGAGTGAGGAAAGTTCTGAAGGACTCTGGCAAAGGTCAAGAAGAAAGAAGACAACTTCAGTGGCTCAAAGTTCTAGAAAATCTTCATTGAACAACTGAAAATGCAATGGCTCTGGGACCCTCCCCGAGGTCACTCTGCTCTGCCATCCTGTGCAACCTCTGGACTCTACTTCTCCTGAGGGAAGAGTAAAGGGGAGGGAAGCAGCCTCCAGGAGGGGCTATCCTGGAAACACCACTTATAGGAGCCACAGGGAGCCCAAGGAGACCAGCAGAATGTAGCCAGTGAGGAAGACTGGGCTCCAGAAAGCAGGGCTAGCCCTACTGAGGAACCTCATATCAGCAATCTGAGTCCTGATCCAGTGGGTAAAGTAGGAGGTGCTGGTGTAGATGCCTGGGAAATGGCGCCGGCCACAGCTAAAGCTCCAGCTGACCACACCCATCTGAATCCAGGTGTTGTTCTCTTGGCAAACAAGGGAGCTGCCAGAGTTACCCTGCAGAGGAGAGGAAGGGAGGCATTAGGATGGCAACAGAAGGGCCTATTCAGCCTGAGCCATACCAGGCGCATGTTGTTCTCAAGGATGAGATCAGTGATGCATGGCTGTACACTGGGGCCCAAGCTTGGAACCACGCTGGCCTCTCTCTTTCATTCTCCTGCTAACTTCTCTCTGATTATAATTCCCCAGTCCCTTCCTCTGCCTGCCCTGGTGGGCCTCTGAGGTATGGCCCTTGATCTTCTTTCCTATAACTCTACTTGCTGAGTGAGCTGTTTGAAATACAAACTAGCCTTCCTCTTTTTGTGCAAACATGGGTGCACATAATATTTACAATGGTTTATCAAAAGGTCATAGCTGTTATTTCTGTTGATGGTAGATTTCTTTTAAAACTTTCTTAATGTTGGAAATTTTATAAGTCAGAAAAATGACTTACAGTATTCATTTTTTAAACATAATGCAAACCAGGATTTACAGGACATAATCTAATAAAGAGTACATAGGATCCTTCAAGAAAAAAATTAATAAAACTATGAGAACATAAAAGAAGACCTACATTAATGCAGATATACCATGTTCATAGACAAGACAACTTAAAACAATATAAAAATGTCAAAGCTCAGGTTCCTGCAGTAGGGAAGATAAGATACCCCAATCAACCTATTGCTAAAAATAACTAAAAATGTAGAATTTTTAAAAATTATCATTTTAAATGCATGGGTGAACCAGCAAGAGGAAATCTTAAAAATAAGGAGCAGAAAAAGAGAGTTGAGGAAGATGTGAAGGCCTTCTTTGCCAGGAGATCACCCTATTGCCAGCTTCCTGACCTCTTGGCAAGGCAGGAACCCATTCCCTAGAAGTGTCAGAGAGGTTTAAATAAAACAGATCCTTAAAAAGAAACTTTTGCTTTTGTGTTTTTTGAGACAGAGTCTCACTATGTTGCCCTCAGTAGAGTGCTGTGGCATCACAGCTCACAGCAACCTCAAACTCCTGGGCTCAAGCAATTCTATTGCCTCAATTTCCCAAGTAGATGGGACTACAGGTGCCCGCCACAATGCCTGGCAATTTTTTGTTGCAGTTGTTGTTTAGCTGACTCAGGCAGGGTTCGTACCGCCAGCCTCAGTGCTTGTGGCCAGTGCCCTGAGCCATTAAATTGAAACTTTTAATGGGACAGGGTGTTTAATAGCTGAAAGTGCTTGAAAATTATGAACTCTGCTCAAAACAGTGTTTAGGAAAGAAGCTTTGACATAGGGCATGTAGAGACAATTATTTGAAAGAATAAAGCCATTTAATATGAACGCCTTAACAAATTGAAACTCCTCAATAAATAATTACCAGAGGGGATATGTAGCACAATATAATTTATATAAATTAAAATACACACAAAACAATATATGTATTTTTCAATGATACAGACATCTTTACGAACACAGATTTCAGGAGGTGTCTTTAAGGGAAGGAAATTGGAAAATGAAGGAGAAAATCAAGCAAAAGAAATTATTCATTATCATCATCAATTATTTACCAGTGTACATTCAGCTTAAGACACTTGAAATAAATAAAAACAAACAGGGAATAATTTAAGAAGGAGAAAAATCATTGACTTGGAAAATGAAATAATAGTTTATTCTTAAACAACAACAAAATAAACACCTTGTAAGTCTTACCAAGAAAACAGGAAGACAAGAAAAATGCAAACACTTATGGTTTGAATAGTAAAGAAATTCTTTAATGATTTAAATTCTACACAAATTTCTAAGAAAATGAAAATCATTTAGACTAATTTAAACATTGATAGAAAACCTCACAAGTCCAACCATTATTGGCAAAACAACTTAAAATATTACCCAGGAATAATCACTCAAAGGAGAATAGGCCTATATGGTTTCATAGGGGACTTCTATCCAACGTTCCAGGAGATTATGTGCTATTTCAAATGTTTCAGAACATGGACAAATATTTTTGAAGAGAAGCATAATCCTGATGCTATAATCTGACAAAGGGGGTGCCTACCTCTATACACCCTAAAGTGGAGTCCAGATTCACCAGAGGGTAAAAAGAAAAAAAAAGCTGGATGGATTGTGCCACATCAGAGGACTATTTGTTCCCCAAGGCCAATACCTTTCCTGCGCCCAATGTTATCCCGTACCTGGCCCAGAGCCCAGCACACAATGTCTATTACATGAATAAATAAATTAAGACATGTTCTTTTTTTATTATTTATTTATTTATTTATTTTTGAGACAGAGTCTCACTTTGTCGCCCTTGGTAGAGTACCATGGCAGTACAGCTCACAGCAACCTCACACTCTTGGGCTTAAGTGATTCTCTTGCCTTAGCCTCCCTAGTAGCTGGGACTACAGGCACCTGCCACAACACCCAGCTATTTTTAGGGACTAAGTCTCACTCTGGTTCAGCCTGGTCTTCAACATAGGGCATAAAGAGACAATCAACCTACCTCAGCCTCCCAGAGTGCTGGCATTACAGGCGTGTGCCACCATACTGGCCTATAAGACATGTTCTAAAAAATCTATTATGAATCTGAATCCAACAGATGAATAAAACAAAAGTACACCACGGAGGAGTGACCCTGGAATGCAGGTGAATGGACAAGAGGAATCTGTTCAGGGAACTAACTCAGCGCACCAAGTTAGAGCATAAAGACATGTTCATAGCTGCAGAAAACACATTCATAAAGCTGAACATTCATTCCTGAAATACAATGTCATTCTAAAACAGAAAAGAATGGCTTCCCTTGACAAATTATATGCCAGATTGGCACCAAGAAATGGTTTATGAGGAAGAATCAGAAGCATTTCCATCAAGATTAGCAACAAGAGAAAACATACCTATGATTCCTGGCTTTTGGGGGGGAAGAGAGGTACCCAAAACAATAAAAACAGTAAAAATAGAAATAAAAGAGGTGAAATCATTACTAATTGCAGCTTATATGAGTACAGGCCTGCAAAATCCAAGAGTCAACAAAAAACTTGTAGATAGGCTCGGCGCCCATAGCATAGTGGTTATGGCGGAAGCTACCTACACTGAGGGTGGCAGGTTTGAACCTGGCCCGGGCCAACTAAACAACTGCAACAAAAAAATAGCCGGGCATTGTGGTGGGTGCCTGTGGTCCCAGCTACTTGGGAGGCTGAGGCAAGAAAATCACTTGGACCTAAGAGTTTGGGCTTGCTGTGAGCTGTAACGCCACAGCACTCTACCAAGGGTGACATAATGAGACTCTGTCTCAAAAAAACCTTGTAGATATAAGAAAAGAGTTCATTAAGCTGACCTCTCAGATACTTTCAACAAGATAAGTTGTGGGGATGGAAATGGAGCAAGTTAAATTGCAGGAAGGTCCTGGCCCTGCTAAGGAGGTTGTAGACATTGGTTACCTCCATGTGATAATTCAATTTTAAATATATACATGGAAAATATAAGGTGATAAGTAGTAGAATGAGTTTTACATACTTAACTTCTAAACCACTAAAAGAGGAAAGTAGAGTGAAGAAAAAAAAAAAATCAAACCAAAATGTAAACTAGGGGAACAAAAGAAACCCAATCTTTCTGGACAGTCTCTCAGATGTGTTGAGAAAAAATAGCTTCCAGCTTTATGTTGTTTATAAGAGAGACACCTAAAACTAAATGACATATTGTCTCCTGAAAGGCAGTAGTTTTTCTGGAATACAGTTCTGGACATTTGCAATTACAAGAAAAATAAGTAGGCATACACTGAAAAGAAGGCAAATTTATATCATTATTTGTAGATGATATGTTTCTAGGCCTACAAAATTGAATAAAATCAGCTAGATCCAGAAAAGCTGTTTATTACAAAGTGAATACACAAAAATCTGTAATATAAACAGAAAATATATTGCTCATAATAAGAACGTAGTATATAACATCTAGGAAAGACTTTAAGAAACAGCATGCAGTAACCACATGGAGAAAGCTACAAACTTCTGCTTAACGGACATAAAGAAATAGAACAGCATAAAAGAGACTGTTTTCCTTAAAATAATATATGAATTTCCACCAAAATTCCCATGTGGTTTTCTTTTGGACAACATTATTGTAAGATTGTTAAACTAGAATGAGCATGGGAAAATAGCCAGGTATATTCTTTATTCTTTAAAAGAAGAAAAATGAAGGAGGACTTGCCTTTTTTTTTTTTTGCCACATACAAAAAAGTATTGTAGGCCAGGCGAAGTGACTCATTCCTGTAATCCTAGCCCCTTGGGAGGCCGAGATGGGAGGATCCCTTGAGCTCAGGAGTTCAAGATTAGCCTGAGCAAGAGCAAGACCCTGTCTCTAAAAACAGCCAGGCATTGTGGTGGGTACCTATAGTCCTAGCTATTTGGGAGGCTGAGGCAGGAGGATCACTTGAGCCCATAGTTTGAGGTCACTGTGAGCTGTGATGCCACACACTCTACAGAGGGCAAAAGTGAGACTGTCTGAAAAAAAATAAATAAATAGGGCAGCGCCTGTGGCTCAAAGGAGTAGGGCACTGGCCCCATATGCCAGAGGTGGTGGGTTCAAACTCAGCCCTGGCCAAAAACCACAAAAAAAAAACAGAAAGAAAGAAAGAAAAATAAATAAATAAGGCCAGCTTGAGCAAGAGTAAGCCCCTGTCTCTACTAAAAATAGGAAAACTAGCCAGGCACTGTGACAGCACCTGTAGTCTCAGCTACTTGGGAAGCTGAGGCAGAAGGATCACTTGAACCCGAGGTTGCTGTGAGCTATGATGACACCACGGCACTTCACTTGGGCAACAGAGTGAGACTCTGTCTCAAAAAAAAAAAGAATTGTAAAGCTACCATAATTTAAAAGAATCACGGTAGCAAAGAGATGAAGCCATAAATGACAGAAATACTTCAAAATATGATGGGAATTTAGAATACAACAAATAGAGCATTTTTAATTCATAGCCAAAAATATACATAAGTATTCAACAAGATTTTTAAATAATGAGCTACCCATCTAGAGAAGAATAAATCTGGATTCTCAACCTTCCAGATGAATCAAAATTAATATGTTTAAAGAAAATAATTAAGACATGATGAGTAATTTTTTTAATCTTAGGATGGAAGGTATTTCTAAGAGCAGTAAAAACCAAAAACCCAAAAGCACTCTAAAATCATCAAGGGAAATAATGATAAACGTGAACACACAAAAATTTTACATAATTCTATGAGATAAAATCCACACCGAAGAAAGGTAAATGCTATCAGCCTAGCTCACAGCAATCTCAAACCCCTGCCTCAGCCTCCCAAGTAGCTGGAACTATAGGTGCTGTACAATGCCTGTCTAATTTTTCTATTTTTAGTTACAGAATATTATAAAGCATTTTACAAAGTGTTAGCACTTCCAGTACCCTAAGTTTTGGGTAACTTCATTTCAAAATTATTTCAGACTTATGGAAAAGTTGCAAGTATATATTTTTACCCATATTCACTAACTGTTAATGTTTTTCCATATTTTTTTTTAAGACACAGGGTCTGACTATCTTCTAGCTGGAGTGCAGAGGCATCATCATAGCTCACTGGAGCCTCAAACTCCTGGGCTCAAGCAACCCTCCTGCCTCAGCCTCAAGCAGTTGGGACTATAGGCATGACCCACTGTGTCTGGCTCCTGTATTTGGTTTATAGTCTCTCCCTCCATATGTACATATGCATATACATGTATGTAAGTGTTTATGAAATTGAGTTGAAAATATGTGCTACTCCTTTACCACTAACTACTACAGAACATAATATCCAGGGTTTTTATAAATCAATTAAAACAAAAGTATTTTAATAGAAGAACATGGGCAAAAGACATGGAAAAGTGAGGGGTATCCAACTTTTTGGCTTCTCTGAGCCATGCTGGAAGAAGCAGCATTGTCTCTGGCCACCCATTAAGTACACAAACACTAACAAAGCCAATGAGCAAAAAAATAAGTTCCGTGCATTTTTGTGCTATCTGCTACCACAGATAAGCAAAAAGTCCTCATATAATCTACATTCAGCCCATAGGCCTCAGGTTAAACACCCAGCAAGCATTTTATTTGGACCTCTTTTGTTCTCTTAATCATTTCAAAAGTGAGTTATTTGTCTGATCCTGGGTAAAGTCTTGGGAAGAACCAGAACTTTTTGCTCACTGTGATTAATGTGATCATAATCATAATGACTGCATCAAGTATCACAAAAATATTTCAGTTCAGAAATCAGAATATTAATTTCCCTCCTGGGTGAAGGGCTCAACCACAACCTGGATTTTACCTAGCAAATGCAAACACTGTAACCCAATTGTTTATACCCTCATATTAATCTAAAATTTAAAAAAAGAATACCCATTTCCATGTAATAATCACAATATTAGTCTTGATTTTAAGCAAAATTTCTCCCCACTGCCATCTGGGACTTTGGCAAGCAAAAGGTCTGGGAAGGGAAGATAGAGGTCTGTACTCTCTCTGTCCCTCTAACGTCCACTCCTCCTACCCCATCTTGCCATCCCAGTCTTCTGCACCTGCCAAGGTTAAAGAGTGAACAGGAAAGGAACTGTCTTAACCCTCTTCAGGCCACTTGTGTTTTCTCAACCTGGAGGGAATTTATAGCTGACTCTTCCTCTGCCCTCAGGGGCACATATCAGACTCTTTGACAGCAGCTCTCTGTGCAATCTCACTGAAACCACCTGCAGTAGACTTGAACTGTGGGATAGTTGCCCCCCTTCCCCTTAAAGGGAGGACAAGCTCATTGGAACAGTGCTCTGCCACAAAATCACCTCCCACTCTACCCCTCTTGAACTTCTGATTCACATATGTAGTGGAATATCAGTCACAAGACTCCTTTTGAATTCAAAATGTGCTTTGGTGTCTTTGTTGAAACTTCCTATTAAATATTCTGTTACACAAGTAATTTGCAGTGTTTCTCAGTTTCATGAAATTAAAACAGACAAAAAGATATATTGTAGTCTACCAAAAGGACAACAGATAATGCCTAATGTTGACGAAGATCCAGGAAAAGAGCATTCATATACTACTGGTGTTAATATAAAAGGATTAAATCTTTAGAGAGGGTAATTTGTCAGTATCTATTACAATCTAAAATGTATATACAGCTTATTTTATAATTATACTTCTAAAAATTTATTCTAGAGAAATGCTTGAACAAATGTGCAAAGCTATACCAAAGGTTTTTCCTCTGGTATAATAAAAATCATAGAGACATAGAAAAGAGTACAAGATATAGTTTAAGTAAAAATGTTAAAGTTAGAGAATAAAATTATATAACAGTCTTTTGTTAAAAATCAAAACCAGGAACTTATTTAGGGCTTTATAAGTATATAAAGAAGTGTCAGGGATATAATCTGAACAATTTAGAGTGGAAATTTCTAGGTAGTTCAATTACAGGAAGGTCTCATTTTCTAATTTTTGCAAGTTATGTGTTCTTTTCTTTTTCACACAATGTGTGCATTTCCTTCCAAAATCAGAAAACAATATTTTTAAATGAGGTAGTAACAATGGAATCACAAAGTAAAAATTTAAGAGATGAATTGAAAGTTTAATCAAAGGTGATTTCGTGACCTTAAATGCTTTAAACCCAAAACAAGATAGAGTAAATCTTTCTGCTGAAGAAGAGATAAAAAGAAAAACAAATCAAGCCCGAGTGAGAGTTGACAAATTAGTACAAAAAGAAAATAATGAAATGGATGTTTTAAAAATTGTTGCCACTGCATTATAGCCTGGGCAACAGAGCAAGACTATCTCGAAAAATAAAAAAACTTTAACCACATACCAGGCACCAAACAAGTCTCAACATACTCCACATAACTGGCGTCACTATAGAACTTGCTTTATGGCTATAGGGAAACTGAGTTGGAAATCAATAACAACAAAAATGTGCATTGGTAAAAATGAAATTATGTAAAATATTTAGAATTGGATGATAATAAAAATACTTCATAGCAATATTTGTGGCATGAAGCTAATGCAATAGTTAGAGGGAAATTTGTAGTCTCAACTGCTTGTATGAGAAAGGAATATCAAAAATAAATGACCTACAAGATGAACTTAAGAATTTAGCCCCTGTGTACCTGATATACAGAAGCTGGGTATATGAGAGAGGTGATGATAGCACAGAAAATGACTTTTACAATGAATGGTACTGAGACAATTGGTAGTCCACCTGAGGAAATAAATAAAAATAAATTCCTATCTATTCACAAAATGAATGTCATGGAGCTTGAAAAATGTAGAAACCAAAATTTCCAAACTTTCAGGAAAAAAATGTAGAAGAACGTCTTAATAACCTCAGGAAAAGGAAAGGTTTCTTAAATAAGACACAAAAAGCATAAATCAGAAAGGAAAAAATGGCATATTTGACTAAAATACAATCTTAATTGCTGTTCAGAAAAGAACTGTATAAACAAAATGAAAAGATAAATGGAAAACTGGGAGAAGATATTTGCAATATACACAATGAACATAGAATTAGTATTCAGAATATTTAAATATAATAAAAAGAAAATGGCAAATGCTAGAAAAGTGTGCAAAGCGTATGAACAAGTGATTCATAGAAGAGGAATCACAAATAGTAAATAAACATACGAAAAGATGTACAACTGCACTAGTAATTGAGGACATGTACATTGTAACCACAATTCTCATTCATCAGAATGGGAGACTTTTCTGTTTAGAATGGAAAACATTTTATAGTCTAACAATACCAAAAGCTGGCAAGGATAAGGGGCAATGGAACTCTCACATAGTTGGTTAGAATACTGATTAATAGAATCACTTTGGGAAACAGTTTAGCAATGACTATTAAGGGGGAAGGTAACTATAGCCTATTATCTACTAGTTCCATGCAGGATGCATTCTGTTGAGAAATTCTACAATAGGTAATTAGGGAGATATATGTGAGAATATTCAGAGCAGTAGAGTTTGTGATATGAAAAAATCCAAAACTCCCTCAATGTTTACAGACAAGAGAATAGATAAATGGTGGCATATTCACAAAAGAGAATGTAATAGAACTTTTAAGTAATGAATTAAAGTTGCATGTGTCAATATGAATAAATCTCAAAAACAATGAATAGAAAAGTGCAAGCGGTGGAAGCATGCTTGCAGAATGAATGCCATTAATGCAAAACTGGTTTTGCTAGCACCTGGCCCAGATGTGGGCTTGTGGTGTATATTCAGAAGTTTTAAAATGACCTGAGAAATACTACCATTATTACCATCATGGTGAACAGGGACAAAGAATATTTCACCCCTAGTTAATGGACTGGGAAACTGAAGCTAAGGGGAAAGAGATTTTCATAAGGTCTCCCAATACCACGTGAAAAGGCAGGCATGACTCCTAAAAGCCCTCTCTTTGCCCAGAGACCCCACACTCCACACCTGACAAGTGTCCATGCCCCATTCTGAGCTGGCACACAGCACATCATCCCCAATGAACTTCTTCTGGTCTTTCAAGAAGAGGAATTGGTATCGTTGTTTGCAGACGTCATTGTTTATGATCCTGACAGCCATCTCCTGAAGACTGTAGGGGGGCTTTGGGGTCACTGAAAAGAGAGAGAGCCCTCCTCATCATCCCCTCAACTTTTCAGCATATCTCCATCTCAATGTTGTCTGCATTCACTAATGTGGGAGAAAGGGCCACTTCCCAGGATGGTGATTTATAAAGGCCCTAGTCCATAACCTGACTTTCAGAAAGTCCCCAGCTCATTAAAAAAACTAAGCGAAAGTCTCTCAAGGGGCTTGGAGCAATATCTAGGCATCGGGTGAGGGCAAGGATAGATTTCCCCAATAATTCAGGTTTTATGAGAGGAGCTGAGCACTGCTCCATGCCCACCAGCAAGGTGGCAAGACCCCAGAATCCAGAGTGTGACACCACCTGTAAAGCAAGACCCTGGAAAGGCTCCCATATTCTAGGACTCTAGGATAGCACCAATAGGGCCAGACCTCCAGGAATTATGTATGCCTCAAAATAGCCAGGGAGCATGATGGCCAGGGAGACCTCCTCAATGCCTCAGTATCTCCTGAGATCATGGCTCTCTTGCCACTTGCAGACTGAAAATTCCATTAATAGCCAAGGACTAATTTTCTACCTTGCTGCAGGGTAAGGGCTTGGCATTGGATTTAACTTTAACTTTAGAAACTAAGATCCATGCAGGCCATGTGTGTCTGCACACTACAGAACCGTATCTTTGTATCAAGAAGTGGGAACAGGCTAGCACTGTGGCTCACACCTATAATCCTAGTACTCTGGGAGGCCAAGACTGGTAGATTGCTTGAGATTGGAATTTGAGACCAGCCTAAGCAAGAGTGAGACCCCCATCTCTACCAAAAATAGAAAAATGAGCTGGGCATGGTGGTACCTGCCTATAGTGCCAGCTACTTGGGTGGCTGAGGCAAGATTACTTGAGCCCAGCAGTTTAAAGTTGTTGTGAGCTAGACTGACACCACAGCACTCTCTATGCAGGTCAACAGAGTGAGACTCTGTCTAAAAAAAAAAAAAAAAGGTCAGGATGGTGTATAGCACAAGGAGGTGTTCAGGAAATGTTTGCAACTGAGTGAATAAGTGAATAAAGGAGTGAACAAAGGAGCCTGTTGTAGCACTGTGTTCTGAAAAGGCAGGTTTCTTGGAATCTCTGCCTGGCTTCACTTACCTTTTTTTCCTGTAAATCCCCACCCGATCACCCAGCATGAGCTTCCGATATGTGGCTTGAATTTGTTGCTGGGGAGGCAGACGGGCTGGACAATGGGGGACCAGAAGACAGGGTCTCTGAGCTTCAGGAGGGCAATGTCCTGGGACATGCCATTGTGGTAATCCTCATTAATCACGATGCGAGTGAGCGGGAGCTGAGTGCCATTTTCTGGAAGGTGCTGGACTCCCACCATCACGGAGTACTGTAAGGGGTCCTTAGATCTACAGGGTCATGGGTGGGAGGCAGATGGCTAGCAATAAGGCTGTAAGTGGTTGGAGTAATAGGGCCTGAGTACAGGGCTACCCAGCCAGGCCCCCTACTCCCAGATCCCCAGATATACAAGGGCCCCTCAGGCTGGGAGGTGAAGTCCCTGGGCCAGGCTGGCCACCCTGACTGACCTCTGGAAGCAGTGCGCAGCTGTGAGGACCCACTGTTGGTGAATGAGGGAGCCACTGCAAATGTACACTCCCAGGAGCAGGATGCTCACCTGCCACGGCCATTTGCCTACCTCCACCAGCTTCCCCTTCACCATCCTGCAGGATACATTGGTGCGACCGCAGGCCAGGAACCAGGGTCCTGAGGAAAGAGCCTCTCAGGCAGCAAAGGGCCACCATCACAGCCCTGAACACAATGAACTATTAAGACAGAGCTGCCTGCCAGCCCTGTACAAGCAGCCACTGCCATGTGCATATGTGAGGAGGGGCTTTTCCCACTGGCAACCAAGAGGCAACAGGCACCCCATATTATAGAGACAGCTCCCCAACAGTGAGTACCAAACAGTCCTTCAGGGCTTGTTCAGAGCATCACTCAGGACTCATCCTTGCCCATAGTTTACACAAACAGATGGTTGGGGGAGTGAAGGAGAGGAGAGAATCGTGAGCTGTAAGCTGGGGGTAGGTGATGGGGTACGTGATGGGGTACAAGTGGGTAGGGCTACTGCTACCTGTCTGTTGTACCCAAATGAAATGTCACGTTGTACAATCCCACAGCCCACCTTAATACTGGCCATGTCCCTGGGACTGGGTCTTTGTGGCCACGCAAGAAAGTGAGCAAAGATGCTTATCCATTCCCCAACAGCAGGGGTGAGAGGAGGGGAGTTGTACCAAACTGGTTTGAGACTGACATTTTATTTATTTATTTATTTTATTGTTGGGCATTCATTGAGGGTACAAAGATCCAGGTTACACTAATTGCATTTGTCAGGTAAAGTCCCTCTTAAAAATGTGTTCCTCCCCCAAGAGGTGTGCCATGACCCCCGCCCCTCTCCATCCTTCCCTCTCTCTGCTCCCTCATTCCCCCACCCCCCACCATGTACTAGGTCATCAATTATCCTCATATCAAAATTGAGTACATTGGAGACTGACATTTTAAACTGGACTAGCCTGGTTTGGCACAGGTATTTAATAATTAAATTTCATAAAGTATAAGAAAAGAAGAAAGCTTCTACAGCAAGGATTGGAGACCAAGATTAAAGGAAAATGAAAAGGTTTCCAATCTAGCCTGCTATCAAGTTCAGGCTAGTCAACAAACTGTTCCATGTGATAACAAACCTCCTCTTAAGAAGCGAAGCTGAATGTAAACTTATGCCATCACAAGCTGTCCTGGCTGCAGAAAGCCTTTACGCAGCACGCAGTACCAAGCAGAGCATTAAGGGGTCAGCATCAGCAGCCAAGGCTATCCCTAGCCCGGGGGGCTGTGGCGAGTGGTGGTAGGAGGGGACACAGGAATAAACAGACAAGGCTGATATCTACGGTGACCTGTACGTAGGAGCAGAAACATCTACCAGCCACAGGTCATTGACACTTGGGCTCATTAATCCTGTGTCCCAGGATGTAAATGGCCAGTCCCCTTGCCACAGACTTCATGGCTGGATGTGTTCACCTTCGACCAGTGGCTTTCCACGGGGATCCACAGGCCCTCCTCTGCCTCCCACGCCTCCATGGAGTGCTGTCTTGCCTTGCTCACCTTGCCATTCTCCTCCATCTCCCTTTCCATCAGCTGTCCTATTTTCTGCCTCCCCCAGCGAAAGCCACCCTTCCAGCTCTTCACACACACAGTGATGAATATGTGAGTACTTTTTTGTTTCTGATGACAGCCTGCCCCAATCAAGAGTGTTCCACCTTGGCAGAAAGGTTTCTAGAAATTCGTTTTTTCCTTCCTCATAACCTGAGGCCCGGTGGAGCCTGCAGAAAGAACTTCACCACCTTAAAAACTGACAGCCCTGGGGCAGGAGTGGGCTTCACTTTGGTGCTCTCTACTCTCAAGTTGAATTCCTCTGGGTCTCAAAGAACAGCACTCAGCCAGGCACGGTAGCTCATGTCTGTAATCCTAGCACTCTGTGAGGCCAAGATGGGTAGACTGCTTTGAACTCAGGGTTCAAGACCAGCCTGAGCTAGAGCAAGACCCCCATCTCTACTAAAAAAAAAAAAAAAAATAGAAAAAACTAGCCAGGCGAATGGTGCATGCCTATAGTCCCAGCTACTCAGGACACTGAGGCGAGAGGATTTCTTGAATCCAGGAGTTTGAGGATGCTGTGAGGTATAATGCCAACGCACTCTATCCAGGGTGACAGAGACTCTGTCTCAAAAAAAAAACAGCACTCCTCAGAACGCATGTCCAGGACAACGTGGTCTCCAACCTCCTTCCCCAAAAGCTTACATAGGATTTTCAGGATCTACCCTAGAGATGTCAGCACCAAGTATAGCAGTCAAATCTAAGGGGAGCCGTGATAGGTTATTTGGGGGCACAAAGTGTCACAGATCAACCTTGTCCCAGGCACAATGTTACCATTTCATGCACAATACTCAGAGGTTCAAATGGATTCCACTCAGACTTTTCTTGGAGTTCTAGACTCAGAGCACCTCAGTTACCAGCAGTGCTCTCATGTCATTTCCCACACTCATACATGGTCACAGGGAGATAGCTATTGGCCCTATGACCTTTAGCTCCACAAGGTCATGTCCCCACACCCATCTTCACATCATCATAGGCACAGAAGTCCTCTATGTGGAGCCACACACATTCTCACCACCTCTAAAACATCACATATTCAAGGGCAGCACAGCACAGTTAAGAGTAGGAAACCACCCATTCATTCATTCATTCATTCACTCAGTCACTCATTCAATGAGGCACTAACTAGAGGGGGACTCTTCCACTAAAAGGGGGAATCACATAGTGATGGGCAAAGACAAAGTCCTTGAGTTGGAGGCCACATCCCCATTCACAGATGCCACTCTAGCATGTTCTCTGCCAAGCAGCAGAATTGGCAGCTGACAGGTGACCTGAGCCAGAGCGTCTGCCACAAAATCTCCTGTGGTAGTTGGTTAGGGTAGAAACCTAAGAATCTGTCACTTGTGGTCCCAAACTTTTCACTCCCAAGAGTCTGCTGGAAACTGGTATTGATTCATTCACTACTCACAAACCCTGGGCTTGCTACTGTTAATTGGGGCCACTGGTAAAGCTCCCTTCAGAGAGAGTTGAGATGTAATGCTGTGTCAACAGGGCCTGACACAGGGTGGACACTCACATAGCACTTCATCATCATCACAAGTCTGGTTCTCTTTTGACTCTGCCTCTCAAACAAGCTCACTCCACAGATGTCATTTTGTTCCCTGTTTTTAATAAAGCTCTTCCCTCATGTATTCATGGTCACCCTGGAAATTGAAACTGCCCTAATACTATATGGGTTCCCAGTCTTCTGAGGATGTACCCATCAGACTATGGATAAACAGAGGCCCTTTGGGCATGAGGACAACTGACATAGGCACTCAGGCAAACAGATCCCCTTTACCCTCTGTCCCAGGTCCCTGAAGCCCTACCTTCAACATAGAGCTGATTCTGTAATCTGGCAGAAGAAAATGGAGATGTGGGAAGGCCCTGAAGATCCCCTGACCCACATGCCATGGCATGTAAATGTCCAGTCCTTCTACTGGACATGGGGAAAGGGGGAGGGGCATCTCTACTGGTTGAGGATTCTAGAATTCTTGGTTTGTTTATTCAGGACAGCAGGGAGAGGGCCTCTGCCCCAGTTGGTGGCTTACATGGCTGTGGCAGCAGCAAGACTCTAAGAAAGAAGTGGTATGGTCAGAGTGAGGCAGGTATTGCTGCTGTCAGGAACTTCTCTGGAATAGTGTTCCTGGTACCTGGCCTGTGACAGTGCCTCTTGGACCCGGCTCTTAGCACCATACCCAGTGCCCAGCTTTGGCCTTGATAGGTGCCTGTGCCAAGTTCTGAGCCTGTGACACTATGACGTGTCTGTCTTGTGCCTGGTGCCTGCCACAAGCTCCTTGGTGAAGGCCCTCTGAAGGCCTCCTTGAAGTTGTGGAAAACAAGGCACTATGAGGGGGATTGAGTTCCTATAGTATGTGATGAAATGGAACTGGAGTTTTCTTTTTTTCCTCAGGGTGTATATTTTAACAAATGACATTTTGCCCTCCCCACCACTTCACTGGGGATCCCTCCTCCCAAAGATTCTATGCTTCTCACAATGCCCATGAAGACAGACCACTTTTGAGCTACCCATTGTTGACTGCTGCCAAAGATGTAGAAGAATGAGGTTGTTCACACACTGCTGGAGGAGGTGGAACTGGCATGACCCCTGTAGAAAGCTATTAGGAATCATTTAGTAGAGCAGAAAGCATGCCTACCCCACAACCCACAGTTCCACTCCTAGAAGCAACATGTATGCAGCAGGAAAGTTGCACAAGACTGTTCAGAGCAGCACTGTTGGGAAAAGCCTAGGCTGGAAACCACCCAAGTGCCATCCAAGGTGGAAGAGATGCACAGAACACTCCACAGCAATGAGAATGGATGATCTGCTGCTCACACAGCTGAGTGGTGATGCTCATAAACCTATTATGGGTGAGGCCAGGCACGGTGGCTCACACCTGTAATCCTAGCACTCTGGGAGGCCAATGTTGGTAGATTACTTGAGCTCAGGAGTTCAAGATCTAAGCAAAAGCAAGACCACATCTCTACTAAAAATAGAAAAGCTAGCCAGGCATTGTGGTAGGCACCTGAAGTCCCAGCTATTTGGGAGGCTGAGGCAAGAGGATCTCTTGAGTCCAAGAGTTTGAGGTTGCTGTGAGCTTTGATGATGCCAGGACACTCTACCCAGGGCAACAGAATAAGACTCTGTCTCAATAGTAAAATTAAAAAGAAAAAAACCCTACTATGGGTGAAAGAAGTCAGCTACAAAAAGGTACAGATTGTATGAAATAAAAAACAGGCAAAACAAATTAATTTTAAGGATATTATAGAAAAATCAAGGAAATTATTAACCCTAAAATCAGATTCCCTAAGAAAAGAGAAGAGAGAAAGAGGAGAGAGAAATTCTAGAACAGAAGTTCTCAACCTGTGGGTCACGACCCCTTTGGGGATGAACAACTCTTTCATAGGGGTTGCCTAAATACATCCTGCATATCAGATATTTACACTACGATTCCTAACAGTAGCAAAATTACAGTTACGAAGTAGCAACGAAAATAATTTTATGGTTGGGGGTCACTACAACATGAGGAACTATATTAAAGTGTCACAGCATTAGGAAGGTTGAGAACCACTGCTCTAGAAGAACAGAAATCCTATCTACTCTTCTGCCTTAAAATAATACTTTGGAGGGAAACAATAAATTAATCAATAAAACAAAATAAGACAACTTAATAAAAATCAAGCATATCTGTGATCCAACTAATGTGAATGCATAAAATTCTACTTTTAAAAGACGAAGATTTTTATTGGCAATGTTAATCTCTGAAAGTGATTTAAACAAAAAAGAAAGTCATTTTATGTTGAAAAAAGACATAAATTACAATGATATATGACATCATCAAGTTCTGTCTACCCATAAAATATAAAACATACAAGAAATATCAATCAGCAATATATAAGAAATTGAGAAACTTCATTTATAGTGTCAGAGTCTCCTCCCACTCACTATGACTTGGAGAGATAGAATATCTATAAAAATCAAACACATGGGCTCGGTGCCTATAGCTCAACCGGCTAAGGCACCAGCCACGTACACCTAAGGTGGCGGGTTCGAATCCCCAGCCCGGACCCGCCAAACAACAATGACGGCTGCAACCAAAAAAAAAATAGCCGGGCGTTGTGGCGGGCGCCTGTGGTCCCAGCTACTTGGGAGGTGGAGGCAGGAGACTCGCTTGAGCCCAGGAGTTGGAGGTTGCTGTGAGCTGTAATGCCACGGCACTCTACCCAGGGGGACAGCTTGAGGCTCTGTCTCAAAAAAAAAAAAAAAAAAAAAATCAAACACATGGTAATGACTAAGAAAGCCACAACTTCCCTAAATGCTGAACTAGTTTGGACCACATTTTTTAATTATGATGAAACTAAACAAGGATTTTCAACAAAATAACCAAATCATTTAAAAATTTAAAAAATAAACCTTGCCAAATTAATTTGAATAAATATACTCTATAAACTACTTAGAAAGTATTAATAATTAGAGCAAAGTATTTTTTAAAAACATCTTGGGTGTATCCAAGGCAAATTCATAACTTTAAAGGCATTTCTTATTGAATAACAATGAAAATAAATGAATTAAATACTCTAATCAAGAAACCATAAAAGGTACAAAATAAACCATGGAAAACTTATAGTTAACAAGTACAAAACAGAAAATTATGCCTTAATCAATTAGTTCAGCCAGAAGGAAGAATGAAACCTTGATGGATCTTTGAATAAAATAACTACTATTAAATAAGACCAAAAAAGGCATATTTAATTTTCACAGAGTGTAACCCACTAAGATGCAATAGCAGGCATGAACCTCGTCCTCCCTAACAGCACAGCTTTGAAACATATAAAGCACAAATTGTTAGAACTGCAAGAAAAAACATAAATAATTTTTTGTAACAAACCTCTAAGAAATCAACAGATTGTGTGGCCACAAAATATTTGAGGTGTTGAAAGGATATGAATAACACAATCAACAAGCCTGATCCAATCAATTGTAGCTCAAACTTTGCTCTGAAACACTTTCAGACACACATGAAACATTCACTAAGACCGACAAAATATCAGGCCACAAATAAAACCTCAATAAACTTATCAAAATACAGAAATAAATTAAACCCATATACAGTCATGTATCGTTTGGCAATGGGGATATGTTCTAAGAAATGTGCTGTAGGGTGATTTCATCATTGTGTAAACATCACAGGGCATACTTACACAAACCTAGATGGTATAAATATTTTTATTTATATGTTTTTTATATGCAAAACCAAATGTCCCAGAACCACTGCTGCATATCAATAATTTCCTCTATTTGATCTGTAATGGTAATATCAGTGCTATATATCAGGTTCCCACTTCTCCCCCAAACTACCCATCGGGAAATTAAATAACATCCTTCTATATAACTCTTGGGTTAAATAGGAAATATAGTGTGAAATTATAAACAACATAGAAATGAATGACAATAAAACTAGTACATATTAAATACTCTGAAAGTGGCCAAAGACAGTCTCAGAGGAAAATTTATGGAATTAAGTAAAAATATTGCAAATCAAAGAAGTCTAACATAATGAACTAAAGCATACTACTCAAGAAGTTAGAAAAGAACAATAAAATAAATCCTTAAAAGTAGAAGGTTCAAGTTCTTAACACTAAAAGACCATTACAGCACCTGTGGCTCAAAGGAGTAGGGCACTGGCCCCATATACCAGAGGTGGCGGGTTCAAATGCGGCCCTGGCCAAAAGCTGCAAAAAAAAGGAAATAAATTTGATCATTAAAACCAAAAGTTATTTTGTACTATTTAGGAGTTCCCAAGTAACACTGAAATAGATTTATAATGTCCATCTCCTCTCTCTGCCTTCAGCAGTGGCAACTTCATCCTGAGGCAGTCCCCTTATTGTAAAATGGCTGCCAAGAGCCAATATCCTCCTGCTTCCTTGCCTACATTCAGAGAGTGCGCATGTCTTTTCTCTAACCACACCTTATGCAGCTTGGGACAACCCAGGTGAGCACTCACTGGGGACAGCTGGCTCAGATACTAGAATATGCTAACTAGATGCAGCTGGGAGCTGGGAGAGTGGCAGCTTCCCCATGAAGGACATGTGCAGCATGCAGAGGTCTGGGCCCCCGACTAGGAATGGGGGGCTAATGTAAAGGACGTAGGAAGAAGGATACATTAGGGCTAACCACACAGCTTTATGAAAATACCTACGAAGTAGATGAAACTTTGGCAAATGTAATCTATAATCATTAAGAAAAAGGAAGAGTACACACATGAATATGAGAGATAGGAAAGAGAACATAGATTCAAATTTTTTACATCAGTTTGAAATTTATAAATCTAGGCTAAATTGATTTCCTAAAAAGTGTACCAAAATTAACTCAAAAAGAGGTGAAAAACCTGACTAGACCTGTAACTACAGAGAAATTTTTTAGTAGTCTAAGATTTATTCCCTAAAAAAAGGCGTCAGGCTCATTGAGTTTTATGTGAACAATCTACTCTTTTTTTCTCCAGCCATGCTTGGAGTACAATAAGTGCACAATCTACTAGTACCAAATCTAAGGAACAGATAACACTGGTGCTCTAAGGCATAGGGAAATACAAGAAATATGCTCAACATGTTTTAAGTGGCTAGCATAGCAATGACACCAAACTTGAACAACGGATAGAACAAAAAAGAAAACTATAGGCTAATTCCAACAGTGGGGTAAAAACCTAAGCAAACTGTCAGCAAATCTAAAGTGTGTATTATAAGACATCATGAAAGAATGACGTCAGATTAACACATGTACTCCCACCATTATTCCTACTATTTCATACTGTGCTGGATGGAGGTCTCAGGTAATGAGATTAGAAAGAGAAATAAATGGTATGACTTTCAGAAAGGATAAGATGAAGCTGTCACCATTTTAAGAAAATTTGATTATGTGAAAATATCCCAAGGACATTAACTGAAAAACTATTGAATCAATAAGACAGTTTTGTAAGACAGCCAGGAATCAAGATCACTTTTTTTAATAAATCCATCAACAGCTTTACAATATCTAACCCATAGAATTAGAAAACAACATAATGGGAAAAGATATCATTCAAAGCATAACCAAATTTATATAATACCTAGAAATAAACTTAAAATTTTCTGAGACATCCACAAAAAACCTAAAAAGCTACTGAAAAGATACAGAAGAGGAGCTGAATGAATGGAGATATATCCCTATCCCTGATTAGGAAGTCAACAGTGTAGCAGCAATAGTTCTCCCAGGATTAATCTGTGTATTTAATTCCTATTCAAATACAGGAGTATTTTTAATGAAATTTGACAAACTAATTCTAAAATTTATACATAAGATAATAGGCAATATTTTTTTAAAGGAAGAAACCATTTGCTACCATTTAACAAAACATTACAAAACTTATTGAAACATTACAGCACTAACCTGGGGACCAAACAGATAAGTGGGAAAATAACAGAGGGTTAAAAAACATGCCCATAAGTATATTGGGATTTCATTATTATAAATTGGGAAATTCAAATTAGCACAAAAAGGATTCACTGTACAAGAAATGGTGTCAATGAAATTGATTCTCTAGTTAGAAATAGAGCCATACTGCACATAAAAAAATAAAAAGAAATTTCAAGTGAATTAGAGTTAAATAAACAATATAAACTTACCAAAATATTTTGAAAAATAGAAAAACAGCTTTTACAATCTGGAAATGGAGAAGGCCATCCTAAGAAAGGCATAAAACCCATGAATAAAGACTGACTGACATGATTCCATGACAATTTTAGAAGATTTTAGGCCAGGGAGTTCATACAAAGAGAAGCATTTAACAGGTACAATAAACGTGCATAAGTATTTAATTAAAACTTAACTCTAGGGTGGCACCTGTGGCTCAGTGAGTAGAGTGCTGGCCCCATATACCAAGGGTGGCAGGTTCAAACCTGGCCCCAGCCAAACTGCAACAAAAAAATAGCAGGGCGTTGTGGCAGGCGCCTGTAGTCCCAGCTACTGGGGAGGCTGAGGCAAGAGAATCACCTAAGCCCAAGAGCTGGAGGTTGCTG